AATATACCGTAATAAAAAATTTAGTGTTTGAGAAATTATGCAGTAAAACAAAATTTATGTGTCAACATTATTATTAAATAATCATTAATAAGCACTTAACTCATAAGAAATGCTCAAAATAATAGAAATTTAAAGACAGTCACATTTTTATTTATGCGGGGATAAAATCTCTAAGTGTTCATTCGCAACCTATTGATGACGAAGAGATGTTACGTTATTATTAATGCTTGACATTATACGAAATCGTACGGAAATCTTTGAAATAATTCAACAATTTATATACGTTGTATCAATAACTGTCTTTAATCAAATGGTAGCCATTTTTGAGTATTTCTTATGAATTAAGTGTTTAACCTATGATTATTTAATAATAACATTAATCTAAATTTTCCCCAACAAAACACATGTTTAAAAGATGTAATTATTACATCCTCTGAATGTCCTATAGATATTTGAAACACGTGTTTTGTTCGAGTTGTTTTACATCATAACTTCGCAACTATTCAATTTTTTACTATGGATATACATAAACTTCTTTCTTTATTTTGACGTAAGAAATGCGGCATAAAAATTGTTCGAGAAAGTATTTCGTAAACACCCTGTATATACAGAAAAAAATATATAAAGCACACCATCAGATTCTGCCCCAATTTGGAAACAATTTTTTTCACAGCAAAAATGTCGAAGGTCATCATTTTTAATATTTTTCCAATTTTCACTGTCTTGTATCTTTGTAACTAAACCTTAAACTGAAATTCTATTAAAGTAAACTCTATCTAAAATTAACTGAAGAATATAGTTTCGTTAATATTGCAACTCTACAATGTTTAATTTGTGAAAAGCATTTCCTTTCTAATCACTGATAACTTGAAAATTATTGGTACCTCGACATTTTCACTGAGAAAAAATCGTCTCCAAATTAATCAAAGAATTTAACGATGTGCTTCGTAGATGTTTGTTCAGTTATACTCTGTACAATACATTTTTCGATTTGTTTACCCAACTTTAAGGGAGCTGTAACTCGGAGGGAAAGCATTTTTGAACCTATATATTTAAAGGAATTGTTCTTTTCTTATTTTGACTCCTAAGTACATCCTTAAAACCTCTGACATAGAATTTTAGAAACACTCTGCATATATCTATATTCTAGGAAATCATTCCCTCGATCACAATGGAGTCGGGCAAAACCAAAAATACATTTTCGATTTGTTTACTTAACTTTAAAGGAAACCCATAAGCTTAAAGGAATTGTTCTTTTCTTATTTTGACTCTTAGAGTACACCTTTAAAATCTCTGATATGAAATTTTAGAAATCCTCTGTATATATTAATTCTAGGAAATCATTCCCTCGATCACGATGGAGCCGGGTAAAACCGATGACGTCGAAGCACAGAAGGACAGGATAGTCGAGACTTTCGCTGGTCGCAAGATCATGCTGACAGGTGGCACAGGATTTTTAGGAAAAGTAATTCTCGAAAAGTTCTTGCGATGCCTGCCCGAAATAGCACAAATTTACATGCTTATCAGGATTAAGAAGGGCAAGGATTCCAAACAGCGATTGGTCGAAATACTTAATTCCCCAGTAAGTAGTTCTCCATCCAGTTTTACGCTATCCTTCCTTTTTCGCTTTCTAAAATAACAATGTCCCAATATTTGATTTCGTGATAAAGAAAAACTACTAACGCAAAAGTAAGTAACTGCGTAGCAGAAACTCGAATTCAAGTGTAGAGACCCCTATAAAAAAAAAATTCTGCGAAAACTTTCGACACGCTTCGCAGAATTCGATGGCTGCCAAAAGTTCCACTATCGAGGAACTCACCTACTTTATAGGATTATCCAAGTTATAGCGCCTTGGTTCCTCCAACAAGAGCATTAAAAAGAGAAAGTGCGTAACTATGACTCGGCTACTATATACGCGCTGCAAGTTGCATCATTGTTGCCTTACAACAGATAATGCGAGGTGCCACGAGAATAAGGTGCACCTTCGTTCTCTCTCTCTCTCTTTCTCTCTCTCTCTCTCTCTCTCTCTTTCTCTCCCTCGCGTGCGCGCATGCGCGTTTCGGATATTTCTCGACAGACAAATTTGCCGGTGAAAGCGCGCTAACCGGACCGTCGACCACATTGCGATCCGTCCTATGTGACGAAAGAAACCAAGTCAAGGCCTTGTCGAAAATATACAGCGAGAAGATGGTGATTATATTCATATACACACACATGTATACACACGGTTCGGTTGGTGAAAGTACGGTGGAGATTGCGCGTTTCTTAGCTTGTTATATCATGCCTTTCGAATTTCAATGCAATATCGTAAACACGCTACGTCATATATACACGTGTATACGTAAGATGCCTAAGTGAGCATCATTAGGATTAGCCTACAAATTATTAATTAAATACGAAATTAAGCGTTTCTGATACAATTTCGATAACAAAGCGCAGTTTTACTTATCGCTTGAAATCAAAAGAGAACTGAATTAAGAAATTTAATCTTTTATTATAACTACTCTATTAATCCTCTCTATAATGAAATAGAAATAGATAATAAAAATTCTCATATATAATATATATATATATATAGGGTATAATATATACGGAGCCCCTCCCTCCCCCCAACATACACCTTCAAATTCTCTAGTCAATTTGGAGACTATTTTTCCTCAGAAAATGTTGAGCACTACCAGTGTTTGCTGATATCTAAATAAAATTATATAGATGATTATCCAGATGAAACTTTGGCGTCATCTTAGCTTCATATATGTAATAAAAATATGTATTTTCTATATATCTGCATCTTAGATGAAAAAAAGTATTATCTTTACTAAATTACTGAGAAGTTTGTATGTAACATTAAAAAACGATCAATACTGGGCAATAAATTCTTTATTAAATTCAATATCTCATAACGTTTCGACCTCTGGTTTAGATCATTTTCAAATGAAAATTCTCTTTAAGATGACAATATAGATAAAGTAGTGAGACACCCTTTATATTGTAATATAACATATCACAATATAAAAAACCAGAGGTCGAAACGTTATGAGATATTGAATTTAATAAAGAATCTAATTTATATTAATAAAGGACCTAAACCAGAGATTGAAACGTTATGAGATATTGAATTTAATAAAAAATTTATTGCCCAGTATTAGTCGTTTTTTAATGTTACATACATACTCTTCAGTTTTTCATTTTTTACTAGCGAATTGATTACACACACTTAATCAATTAAGACATTCTATCCAATCAATTTACTAAATTCTCAGATAATTTTGGTTTAGAATCATGACACATAAAATACTTAAATAATTGATAAAAATTTATAAATAAAAATATAAATAGATATATATTTTTTTATATCCCTTTTATAATTTACATTTTATATCCTTTTTATAATTTACATTTTTTTATATCTGTGTTTACATAAGCAGTCTTAAAAATTATTATCTAAATAAATCGCCATATAATTTTATCTTTTATCTAAATATATTTAAAACAAAATCATCTTCATCTTATCTAAGATGAATTTACATATTTTTATCTCATCTTTATCTAGTTAATTTTAAAATCATCTAACAATAAGCACAACACTGGGCACTAATAATACTTTTCAAAATATCAATTATTAAAAAAGAAAAGCTTCTTACATACTTTGTAGAGTTGAAATATTTACAAAACTATATTCTTTAATTAATTTTAGCTAGTTTGCTTTAATAGAATTTTAATTTAAGGCTTATTGTTAGTTATAAAGATGAGATGGCAAAAATTGAGAACGTGCAAAAAATGATTTCTTCAGATATTTTCGTTGAGGAAAATTTGTTTCAAATTGTCCACAAAATCTGATGGTGTGCTCCATATATATTTTGTCAGTTACACCCTGAATATTTTATACAACCTAGATAGCAGCATACGTCATTTTGCATACGTCATATAATGTATATCTTATACAATCCAGCACAAAGAAGATACGTATTTTATGAGATTTCATCAGTTTGCTTGAAGATACTCATTTTACTGTTATTTGAAACTTCGAATTTCATAATAAATAATACTCACTAAATAAATAATATTGATTAAAGAGTAACAAATGGGCAAAGAGCACGTACACGATCTTGGTGTAAAGTTGTAATAAAGCAATAACAGCAATCAGTTGTCAAACGTTTCGGTTATTATTTAACCATCTTCAATGACAAACTGAAATACAATAATTGATATTAACAAATAATCGGATAAATAAGAATAATTAATTTACCTTTAGAACAGCAGTGATATCAGTCAAAAAACAATTAACGATCTATGTTAACATATTAAACAGAATTAAAATTACTCGGTGAAAACAATTATATTTTGAGGCACCGACAAAATTAGAAAAGAGGGTAGTCCAAAGGGAGATGGAAAGGAAAAAGAAAAAAGAAAGAAGGATAAAGCGGGTAAAATTAAAAGATGGATAAAGTTTTGATAATTGAGAAGTAGGCGTCAGGGAAAAGTTCAGTGTCACTCTGTTTATTTAGGCTATTCTTTTGTCCCTTAATGTGCAGCATCTCAGAAATCAATTTTTTTGTAACGATGTTCAATATCCAAAATTTATACACCGTTCTAATCAAATTCATGATTATTCATGCGGTGTACAAATATTACAAAAGGAGATGTTGCATTTCTAAGATTATCAGACCGATGTTCTTTGACTCTAGTTATAAGTTTCCTCTTAGTTTAGCCTACATAAGTAGCATTATAATTCCCGCAAGAAATTCTAACAACGACATCACACGCATTAGTATGTTCCAACCGGTCTTTGTGTGTTTTAATGATGTTATTAAGATTATTGGCCTTCGAAAATGCAGCTCTATATCCAAAACTTTTTGTTATTAAATAAAATTTATTATCCACTGATTGAGCATAAGGAAACACGAAATAAGGTGTTTGTGAATCTTTATTATTATTACCTATTTATTATTATTACTTATACAGATAACTCATTATTATTGTCAGATAAATAGAATAGATAAAAAAGTCTGTCCTTAATTGTCTGAAAAATAAAATCCAAAGGAAAACAGTTATCCAATAAAATGTATATGACTTTTTCCAAATTTTCTTGATAAAAGCGAGGATGAAATAGTTTGATAACTTTACCTACTAAACTAATTATGGTGCCTTCTTTGTGTTAAAGGATTCTGAGAGTAGAAATTCAAATATCTCCCAAAATAGGATGGTTCTTGGTACCAATTAACTATCAATTTATCCTTCTTTTTCATAATCGTCAAATCTAAAAAACTGATTTTATCATTTAAGCCCACCTCTATCATAAATTTGATTCTTGTGTGAAAAGAATTGAAAATATTAGTCACTATTTCATACGAATCCTCTAGTACTAATAAAATGTCATCTACATAACGGAAATAAAACGGAATGTTAAACGGTAATTTTTCAATAGCTAGTTTCTCAATATCTTGTAAGGTAATATTCCCAATAATGAGAGAGAGTGGTGAACCCATAGGAGTACCGAAGGTCTCTTTGTAATAACAGTTATCAAATTTGAAAAAAGTCGAAGATAACACAAATTGTATGCTTCTCATAAACTCATATTGAGTAATGCAGATGTTGTCTTTTATGTACTCCCATCTTTTTGTTAAACTAGAAATAACCAAGTCTATTGGTATATTAGCGAACAAAGAGACCACAAGTGAAACTAATTTATAGTTTGGTTCCAATCTTATGCAATTCAATCTATTCACTAATTCAAAACTATTGGTAACATGAGAATTAGGTTTCGGGATACTATTATATATTAACTTGTGAAGAAAGTTGGCTAAATTATAGAGTGGGCTATTTATGGAGGAAATAATGTTTCTCAGTGGACAGTCAGATTTATGCACTTTCGGCAGACCATAAGCTCGAGGTAAATTACCTTCACTACAAATTTACAAATCTATACGTGTTATCGTCGATAAAACCCCCTTGTTTTCAAGAAATTAAAAGAGACTTTAACCAATTTATCAAAGTATTTGTCGGATCTTTTTTTAATTGTTCGTATGTACTGGTGGCATTAAGTAAACCTTTCATTTTGGTAATATAATCTGTTTTTTGTAGCGCAACAGTAACATGTCCTTTGTCCGCTCGCGTGAAAATAATATTGAGACGAGATTCTTCATACACAAACTCTACTTTAGACTTCACATCCCAGCAAACACAGTATATAAATGTTATATACTCAAGCATGTTACATGTAACGTATATGTTAGTTGTAATTTCCCACTCATAGATGTAACATTTTTAATATTACATATATTACATTGTAGTTATATTGTCATTATATCCCAAGATAGCACTGACTTATCAATACATCAATGTGCTATTTGGTATATAATTACAATATAACTACAATGTAATATATGTTATATTAAAATGTTACATCTATGAGTGGAAAATTACAACTAACATGGATGTTACATGTAACGTACACGTTATATTACCTGTTATATTCCGTTTTATTATAACAATGTAACAATTATATATCGGTGTTTGCTGAGATTATTATTGCAGCAAAAAACTCATTATTTTCATTGCCGTAACACAGTAATAAAAAGGAAGTCAAGGATTAATCCAGATCTTTATCATATAATATACAATCATTAATCATGATAATAATATATATAACAATCTTTGACGCACGCATTTTCTCGTTATTTGTTTTCTAGTTTTTTTTTTTTTTTAATTAATTGCACGCAATTATTTTTTTCTAGTTTTACGATATATATTCTCATGCGATCGACAAATGTGGACGAGTCGTTTTAAATTTAAATTACAGCTTTTCGAACAAGTCAAAGCCGAAAGAGGAATGGCAGCGCTTGAGAAAACAATAACAGTCGTCAGCGGAGATGTGTCACAGCTAGGACTTGGATTATCCCCAGAGGATAGAAAGATGCTTTGCGAGAATGTCAACATCGTGTATCACGGGGCAGCCACTGTCAGGTAACGAAGAGAAAATAATGTATTGTTGCTCTCGATATATTTTTTATATAATTTATATATTTTATATACCAACGCTTCTTACAATAATTAAGGGATAAAAAATTAGCAAATTATAAATAGTTGAAACTTGATTTCAAAAAATGAGAATTTAAATTACAATAATTAAGGGATAATATATTGCTGCTCTCAATACATATCTTTTTTATATATTAATTTTATATATTTATTATATACGCTTTATATATGTATATGTATACATATATTATAAAAAGCTTATATAAAAAATATATAAAATTATATATACAAAAAATATATTGAGAGCAACAATATATCATCCCTTAATTATTGTAATTTTAAATTCTCATTTTTTGAAACAAAGTTACAGCTATTTAAAATTTGTCTATTTTTATACAATTTTTTTGATCCCTTAATTATTGTCAAAAATACATTTATATTTTATATATATATTTTTTATGTATATATATATATATATATATATATATATATCTTAATATGCTCTTGTAATATATCTTCAACACGATTGAAAAATATTGTGAATTAATCGAAGTTTTGTTTCTCAAATTCTCAGTTACAAAAATAATTAAAAAATTTTCTGCTTTGCCATCATTTATTATCAATTGTCCACTAATATGTTACTCATTTATTTCATCATTGATAAATTTGTCATTGATAAAAGTTTGATAATTTATATAGGAAAATCACTACTTATAAATATCTCACAATTTCAATTTAAATATCTCAATGCTGTACTTATAGAACTGTATGCACATAATTCGTAAACATATGGGTTTCTCTTTCGGCTGTGTATATGCAAAGTGTATTTTTATTCCATTGCAGATTTGACGAATTGTTGAAGACAGCCGTGTTGCTAAATACACGTGGTACGAAACAAATGCTGGAACTGGCTAAAGAAATGAAAAATTTACTTTTATTCGTTCATATCAGCACGGCTTATTGCCATCTCGAAGAAAAAGTATGTATTCAGTTTCTCTTTCATTCTCCCCTCTCCTTTGCTACATACATATGTATATGAATAACTATATAAAATGTCTCAAGAGATGAAAAAAAGTTGAAAGTATAGAATTTTTTTCATACATTTTTTTCAAAGCACTTTACTTTCGAAAAAGATAATATATGAATATTTTTACAAATATGCATTTACCTACTATACTTAATTATATCTGGATTTAGATTGTACGTTTGTATTTACAAAGATTATTCAATATAATAAGATTTTTGATTAATCTTATTTTTATCAATATAAATTCAATTTTTATCAATATATACATCGATAAATATTCAAAAAAACTTTTAAGTTTGTGTGAAAAAACTTTATTCTATATTTTCGATTATTATTCTTTTTTATGTAAAATTATCTTATTCCCTCATTTATTACGAAATATCAGAAGGTTGGATAAGTTAATAATTTTTTTAAAACTAAGTTAAAATTAATTTAGTTCAGTTAAAAGTTTGCATAAACAAAAAATTAACTCACAAAGTTAAGATTAAATTAACTGAAATTAAATCAAAAGTTTATTTTTAAAAACATTATTTACAAAGAAATTTTGATTTTTATATAGAAATATATATTTTTTGCGATATAAAACTATAAAGTTACCAGACGATAATTAAAAAATGGTAATGATTTAATTGACCAACTCTGGCAAATAAACATAAAAATTAATAATACTTTAATTTAAAAATGTTTATAACTTATAAAAAAAACAAAAATGGTATTCAAAGATAAAAAAAATTTTTAAGGTAAAAAATAACTATAGTTTGAAGTTAAAAATTAATACATTTTAAATTAACTTAAGCTAAGTTAAAAGTTATTAACTTTTTAATTTTTAACTAATTAACTATTAATTATTACCCAACCCTGCGAAATATATTCTGTACACATAAAGATTGTTTAAAAAATAATAAATTAGAATAATTGGCTTTTATACAGGTTTTATACGAGAAAACGTATCCTCCGCCAGCGGATCCTCATAAAGTAATCAAATGCGTCGAATGGATGGATGATGATGTAGTCGAGGCCATGACGGACAAGATCTTGGGCAAGCTACCTAATACATACGCTTTCACGAAAGCCTTGTCGGAAGGTCTCGTCGAAGAGTCTATGGCGCATATCCCAGCGATGATTTTGAGGTATTCGACAAAAATCTCGCATTTAAACATTTGTGTAGATGGTATATAGGATATCCAACTTTAATCGACCATCCCCAAAGACATTGTACAACAAAGTTTTTTTTATTGTCATTGAGGTTTCAGCAGCTGATGGGTTACATCAGAAGATGACGCTACTTACTTTTTTCTGAAGAACACTTTTCAAGGTCATTTGTTTTTTCAAATAGAATTACCATAATTTTTTTATTGATTTTTAAAATCATTCCTCATAATTTTTGGCATAAAAAGTTGTAAGAATAAGATGGACAAAAAAAAGTATTGGTGGTGAGATCGTCAAAACATGAATATTTCATCATTTCGGTGTCATTATATAAAATTTTAAATATATCATAAACTGTTTACTTTTTGTTCGTAACTTTTTATGTCAAAAATTGCAAGGAATCGATTTATATAAAAAAATAAGTTCCATTTAAATAATAGTTTCATTTAAAAAATATAAAGGACCTTGAAAAGTGCTCTTTCGAAAAAAGTCAGTAACACCATCTTCTGTCCCTTTAAATCAAACAACTTTTGTGCAATTAAAAGTAAAAAAAGCTTTTGGGGGTAATCAATTAAAATTAGACATCCTGTATATTAGAAACAAGGACGCATTATAAATAATCCCGATTGATTGATCGATGATTTGTCAGGCCAAGCGTAGTTATTCCTGTCTGGAAGGATCCACTTCCCGGTTGGACGGACAATATCAATGGACCGACTGGTCTCTTAATAGGCGCCGGCAAGGGAGTAATCAGAACGATGTATTGTAACGAAAACGGTTACGCTGATTATCTTCCCGCCGATATCGCGGTCAATGCTATTCTTCTTTGCACGTGCAATTTTATTTATTTCAAGGATGAGAAACGGGTTTATAATCTTACGAGTAGTAGCGAGTTCAAGGTATATGGATAAAACACTCACAGGATATACAAGTTCTTTTTTCAGCGACATTCAAGCAGGATTCTTTCGATCTGTCTGCAGGTACCTTGGACGGAAATAATAGAACGCGGCCGAAAAATAACACAACGAGTACCTCTCAACGGAATCTTGTGGTATCCAGGTGGTAGTATGAAGAAGTCGCGACTCTTGCATAATATTTGTGTCTTACTCTTCCACATGATTCCGGCTTATTTTATTGACGCGCTTCTCTTTTTGCTTGGCTATAAACCAATGTAAGTTTTGTTAAAACTTCTGGCTTAGATTCTGACGTCAGAGACGAGAAAGCACACACTGAAAATTCTTAGATACCATCAATGTTTACTGTTGTCTAAATAAAATTATATAGATGATTATCTATATAATTTTATTTAGATAAAATTATAGCGTCATTTTATCTTTATATAGATAATAAACATAGATATTATCTATATCTGCATTTTAGATGAAAAACAAATATTACCTTTATGAAATTATCTAGAATAATGTCCAGATAATTCCCCCATAGCAAAATACCAGTGATATCACAGTGATATGCTCTGGATGTCATAGCGATGTGCGAATGTCCACTTTGTCACAATGTGATGTCACAATGATATCATTGTGACATCACATTGTGACAAAGCGGAAATAAAAGAAAATTACATGGCGATTCATCCAGATAACTTCCAGATGATTATATTTTTAAAATTGCTTATGTAAACACAATTATAAAAAAAAAACGTAAATTATAAAAAGGATATAAAAATATATTCATACTTTTTGTTATTTATAAGTTTTTATCGTTTACTGCTTATATGACTCTAAACTAAACCCCCATAGCAAAAAACCAGTGATATCACAGTGATATGCTCTGGATGTCATAGCAATGTGCGAATGTCCGCTTTGTCACAATGTGATGTCACAATGATATCATTGTGACATCACATTGTGACAAAGCGGACATTCGCACATTGCTATGACATCCAGAGCATATCACTGTGATATCACTGGTTTTTTGCTATGGGGGTTTAGTTTAGAGTCATATAAGCAGTAAACGATAAAAACTTATAAATAACAAAAAGTATGAATATATTTTTATATCCTTTTTATAATTTACGTTTTTTTTTTATAATTGTGTTTACATAAGCAATTTTAAAAATATAATCATCTGGAAGTTATCTGGATGAATCGCCATGTAATTTTCTTTTATTTAAATATATTTAAAACAAATTCATCTTCTTATCTAAGATTATATATGAATTTCAGTCATTTTACAGTTGATTGATTATAATAAATGAAAAAAAGATAATTTTCGATTATTTTAAAAGTATACTGTTTTAACGAAATATCTTTTTATTTTGAAATGGCATCTAAGAATTTTTAGCGTGTTTCTCTGACGTCACAATTCCAATATCGTCAGTGAAGAGTCAAGAGTCTTAATTGTTATCGCGAAGACGTCAAATCAATGTACAATGTCCCATAGGAAATTGCTGAAACTAATCAGCTGTCATTTTTTAATGCATGCAGTTATTAAGAAAACAAAAATTGTGTTGGAAAGAGGAAAGAATCCGCAATTTTTAATGAATATAAATAAAGTGTTTGTATACTAGTTTATTTTATTTTGATAAAAAATAATGAAGAGTGCTAATAATCACTTAAAATCACATAAACTAATAAATATTTTCAATAGTGCCAGATTTAATAGCAGCTATTAAAAGGATTGTCAATAACATTAAAAATGACATGTTAGAAAAAGTTTTTACGAGTTTTCATAAAAGAACAGAATTTTGTACATATTCAAATGGTGCGCACTTCGAAAATATTTATCATTAGTTTACATGTGATTACTAGCACTTTTTTCACACACACAATAAAATAAACTGGTATACAAACATTTTATTTATATCCATTAAAAACTGCAGATTTTCCTCTCTTCAACACAATTTTTGTTTTCTCAATAATTGCATGCATTAAAAAATGACAACTGATTAGTTTCAGTAATTTATTATAAAACACCCTATATATACACTGTATAACTTGTTAATTATTATGTTTATATATGTACAGCATGTGCCGTATCCATCGTCGTATAAACAAAGGTTTCGAAGTTTTCGAATATTACGCCAATAGACAATGGGACTTTGATAATTCGTCTGTCATCGATGCGAGGAGAAAAATGAATAGCATAGAATATAAAAAATATCAAGTGCACGGCGATGACATGGACAAAGACGAATACTTCGAAGCTTGCATTCGAGCTGCAAGAATTTATATTCTAAACGAAACTCCAGACACTCTACCGGCCGCTCGCCGACATTTGAGAGTGTAAGTGTGAAATTGCGCAATTTTTTCTTTCTTATGTGTGTTAATAATCTCCAACTTATTTTTTTTATTTGTTACAGTATGTACTGGGTAGACGTATTTACGAAAATCTTTTTCTTTCTGCTCCTTATATATGTGTTGGCATCCTGGAGTGAAAGTTTTAGAACATTGCTCACAGATAGTGCGACATACGTTTTAAAAACGATAATGAAGTAATATTTTATATAATTTAATCAAATGAAGAAGTTTTTTCGTCGATCGTGCAAAGATTTTATATCTATTATATCAAAGAATTTAAATTTTCATTTAATATCAATATGAAACGATTAAGTATATCTCTCTTAGTATATTTTATAGTGTATACACACTACAACTGTGTTCATTAGATATGGACAAAATAAAAAGTGGATAAAGGCATTATTTACACTAATTATCAAGTGTATGCTTTTATTTTTATGAAAGATTGTACATTCATCTTTAAACGGATTCCTGTACTGGTGGCTCGTAGCCTTCCGGTCGGTCAACCTTGGAACCACTGTCACCAGTTTCCTCGCTCTTGTTACCACCTCCATCTCCGTGCAACTCTAATAACTTGCTGAGTTCAAAACGTGGTTTCTTCAATACTTTCACCTGATAAAATTATTGCTTATTAACATTTAAGAAAAATCATCATACATTATTAATTTTTTTGCTATTAAGATTGTCTATAGTCATCTAAGTGACGAATAATTGCAGTAATAATTGCATCAAAATTTTTTAATATAATCATTACAGGATATTATAAACGTCCTTGCAGGTATTTTACTATTTCATAAAAACTTTAGTCTGCAAATACTTTGTAAATACACGTGAGCGCTTCTGGACTAAACGTCATAACAAAAGGATTATTTTCGTGAAGAAGCTTGAAATGTATAATCATTTAGCAAAAACATTGCTGCTCACCTTACGAATGTAAACGTCGTGCAGAGGATAGATGCCCTGCGAGGCTTTCTCGATGTCTTTAGCCGTGGCATCTGGAAGCAACTTACTAACAACGCCTTTCAAATCGGTCTTAGTAACGTCTTCCGTAATGGTTTCAACCATTTTTTGTCTGATTTTTTTGACCTAAATTGATAAAATATATTATTTAAAAAATAAAAAATTGAAACAAAAAGAAAAATAATTATTAACAAGACGCGTGACTAAAAATTAATACAAAATATATGCATTATCATTACAACAAATTTGATTCATAATAAATTAGCAATAAAATTGGGAGTAAAATTTTAAACTTTTTATATATATAACGTTTAAAATATCTACTATTAGTTCAGAAAATGATTAAACAAAATATTTCTCTATATCTATTTAGAGGGAATTTATTTCCACATATTAAAATATGTAGCACGTTCCTATATCACTACTTACTTTATATGTAAGTAGTGTGGTAAGCGACTGCATTAATATACGCAATATCTTGTGCCATTCAATTATTATAAAAATTGAAATGGACAATAAAATTTATTGCGCATAATGTATGAAACATAATGGAGCACAAACCTGCGCATGTTGGGCATAACACGTCTTTCTCGTGCTCAGCTGATCTTTGTTTGTGAAACCAATGCAGAAAACTCTGAGCAAATAGCCATCTGTAGTCTTGACATCTACATTAGCTTCAATCAGAGTCTGCCATTTTTCACCATTGATCGCAACTTATCTGTTGTCAAGTCCATTCCATGAAAATTGGTTAACACATTACGACCTTGGACATCTTCGGCAATTAATCTAAATTTGCGGAATGATCTCTCTGCATCCTGATCGCTTTGTAAGTCAGCCAGGGATACTTCAAACACTCTGAACTTCAATCCCTCGGAAGCAATCTCTATCAAATTTAAAAATATGTATATATAATATAGAAAACATATATTTTACGTATATTTATTAAAAACCAAATAAAAGAAAAGAAAAATCAAGAATAAAAATAATGAATAAACAAATAATTCAATTAAAAATATAAAAATATAGACAAATAATTCATACAGTAAGAATTTGTTAGTTTGTACTAATTAGGCAATAGTTATAAAAGAAAAAATTTACTTGTTCCCTGAGTCCTGTTGACCAGGGTCTTCCCCACTTGCCGATTGGCAAACATGGATGGAGCCTTGACATCGTACCAGTCTTTGCGAGTAAAGGGATCAACGCTGAAATAATAGCACTATATAAGAAAAAGTATACGTGTACAATGCTATAATAAGGTTATTATTATTTTTTTTTTATATATAATTTATTACATTTTAATTTATCAATTTAATATATATTAATTCTATTATTTATCTTATTTATTATATATATATATAATCTTATTTTTATTATTTTATTTTCTCTTTTATGACTGTGCTTCACAAATTATTTTGCACAAATTAATTAAATAAAATAACAAGAATAAAATAGATTAGGTTAAGTTTTATGGATCGCGTGTGATTACATGCCATCTCAAAATAAGAATATATTCACATTCGTTCTATATATATAAATAAAAAAAAAGCGCATCTTAACAATATTTTAGAAATATATATATAATCGTTCAAAATAAATATTCTATCTAATTATGGTGACACAGATGCATGCATTGCTGGCATCGCTTAACCTGTCTCGAATATCCGAGTTAACCAAAGGAATCGCGCAAAACGATAACCCGATGAGAAATGTTTCGCGTACAGGAGATAACCAGCTTTATTTCAAACGAAATATATTTCACTCACATCTTCTTCTTAACTCCCTTTTTGCCTCCTTTCGAAAGACCCTTATTCTTGCCCACTGCCATGATTCCAACTCGCAAGCGAAAAGAAACACTCGACTCGAGGTGGAAACTATTAACCTAACCTGCCGGAAGCTTGGAAAGCGGAAGTTACTACTCGATTCATTTGAGCAACTAGCTGAATATATTGGAAACTGTAAGCGGCGCGTAAATAATTGCCGCGATACGCAATGTCCGGCGTTAGCGTCGTTTCCGACACCCGTGCGGTGCTGCCACCGTAGCGTATAGGGTGGCCAAAAGATATGCGCGCGCATGCGAGCGCGACCGCGGGCCGTAGGCCGTTAGATTCGAAGTCGAGGAGAACGACTCTCCTTTGAGAAGTGCGAACGAGCAGACGTATTATTAAATCGTGCGCATGAGAGTACTTTCGAGAAGTATCAAATTGTAGAAGCATTCCGATCTTTATTAAATCTTTATTCTTAAAATCAGTGTCCGTTGAATTTCACCTAACAACGCTCCAATCCTGGCGAGAACATTTTGCAGTGCGTACGGGCTTCTGTGGCATCCAATTCGCCTTTAAAATTTAGTCTTAAACATCGGTTACTCGGGATACAGAGAACATTCGAGAAGTTTCCAGACGAGGATCCAAAGGAAAGAGACTAACGCCTAACTCTCGAGTCATTTGAAAATAGAAACGCAGACTTTTACAAAACAAAATAATTGTCTTTTTTTTTTTTTTTTTTATATTATCCCATACAGCACCGTTAGATTGCAAAAACATTACAACAATCTTTCACCGCAATATTGCAAATTCACTGCAAAATGTTGCTACATCATTGCTGTTGAATTACAGCAATGTTAAAATGTCCGCTTTTTGGAAAATAATTAAATTATTATTGATTATCGTTAATATCTTTTATTGTACAATATTGCAAAAAATTATTTTATTACAGTATTATACCCAGCAAATACCAAGTTACAGTTATATAATTGTTAGTTGTAATTTTCCACTCAACAATATAATTCCCATACAGCACAGATTATTGCAATTATATTGCAGCAACATTGCAACGTTGCAAGTTGCAATGCAACATTATAAATTTAAGACATTGCAGAGATATAGGTGCACAAAATTCCAGCACAATTGTAGCAACATGACATTAATATTTCGGAAATATCGCATGTAATCCAAATTCTATAATTTATATATTGTACGTAATATATATAAATTAACTACAACGTATTTTCATTAATGATTTATTTACATTTATATACTTGTATATGCAACATTAGTTTATGGTTGCAATAACAATGCATTATTGCAAACTCATAACATTGCAATATTGTTGTAATATTTTGTTGCAATCTTCCAAAAAGCGGACATTTTAACATTGCTGCAATTCAACAGCAATGATGTAGCATTTTGCAGTGAATTTGCAATATTGCAATATTGCGGTGAAAGATTGTTGTAATGTTTTTGCAATCTATCGGTGCTGTATGAGTTGTTATAATACACGTATTATATTTTTGAGTGGGGATTACAACTAACAATTATATAGCTGTAACTTGGTGTCTGCTGGGTATATGTATATATATTACGATATATAAATTATAGAATTTGGATTACATGCAATATTTCCGAAATAGTAATGTCATGTTGCTACAAGTGTGCTGGAATTTTGTGCACCTATATCTCTGCAATGTCTTAAATTTATAATGTTGCATTGCAACTTGCAACATTGCAACGTTGCTGCAATATAATTGCAATAATCTGTGCTGTATGGGATGCTAAACAAAAGAAATATACAATTGATTAATTTAAAATATATTTTAATATATTTCGTATGTAATTTAAATACAAAACACAAATATAAATTTATATTTAATATAATTTAATTATAAATTAAATGGATGTGTAATATTCGTAATAAATCAAAGTATTCATTTTCCGATGCACATATTTTATATTTAATAAATAATAAATAAATAATAAATAATAAATATTAAAAACATATTAAAAAAGATTACATGTAATTAATAATATTACTAATAGTTTGACAACACCCATACAGTAGATTGCAAAAACATTACAACAATCTTTCACCGCAATATTGCAATATTGCAAATTCACTGCAAAATGTTGCTACATCATTGCTGTTGAATTGCAGTAATGTTAAAATGTCCGAAGATTGCAACAAAATATTTATTGCAATGTTATGAATTTGCAATAATGCATTGTTATTGCAACCATAAACTAATGTTGCATATACAGGTATATAAATGTAAATAAATATTAATGAAAATACGTTGTAATTAATTTATATATATATTACAATATATAAATTATAGAATTTGGATTACATGCAATATTTCCGAAATATTAATGTCATGTTGCTACAAGTGTGCTGGAATTTTGTGCGCCTATATCTCTGCAATGTCTTTATAATGTTGCATTGCAACTTGCAACATTGCAACGTTGCTGCAATATAATTGCAATAATCTGTGCTGTATGGGCAAGAGAGATGAAAATAACAATAAAAATTTGACATGTCTTCACATATTATGTTACCGTATATCAATAATCTGACTGCTAACATTTCTAAAACGCTTAAGAAAAAAGGATTAAAAATAGTAGGTTGAATTAAATTGCATCTTATTATTTGTTAAAATTTTATCACTGGCGATCAACACACAATAATTGTGAAGATTTAATAAATAATAACTTATATTTATTTATAAATATATTTATTATAAATATATAAATATGTAATTTATTATTTAATTTATATAAATATTTAATTTAATATATAAATTTAGAAAAATGTAGGCAAATAAGAACAAGGAATAGAAAATATCCACCAATAGGAATAAGAAATAGTTTCTCATAGTACCTAGAAGTAACTAGTTATTTTTAGGGAAAAAGAAAGAGAGAAGAGAGAGAGAGAGAGAGAGAGAGAGAGAGAGAGAGAGAGAGAGAATAAATGGTGAGGGAAACTGGAACAACCGAAAATTATTTCGTATCTTTCAGTATGTTCGAAATTTTGGTTGTGACGGGTTGTTGTAACTTATTATTTTTCTGAATGCAGCTACACGAGCTGTCGCTTGAACTTTTCCATAGTAATATTCATGGTAAATGAAAAATCTCATGCTCTTATCGTAGCATGTATCTCTATACGATAAATCACATAAAGATCTTCGATTAATTGGCCTACATAATCTGCTCTGATATAATTATGAATTTACAAACGCTTTTTCAAGACTTCAATCCAAGGTAACCCTCTTATTAAACATATACAGACTTATTTTGCAATAACATTTATACAATAATTATAATAATTATAATACTTGTTATATAATAAATAAATATAGTTATCATATGTTTATTTTTTAATTCCAGTAAATTTCTGGTACATTCCTGTTTGATGATATTTACATCCCTATTTGCTCTTCGACTGGATGGTTTTATAGAATGGAGTTATTGGTCGATATTCAGTCCAATATGGTTTTGGAAAGGTATGGTAATTCTGGGAGCTGTAGTAGGAAGTTATGTCTGGTGGAGACATCCTCACGCAAGATTGGAAGGAGATGCCTATGTACATTACAAAGCGATGTTGATAACCCTGGCATTACATTTAATTCTATTAATGTTTGAATTGTTGGTGTGCGACAAGTTAGAGTCCGAGAGACATTTGTGGATACTTGTATTCATACCTTTGATATTCATCTCGATAGTATCCATCGCAGTGAGTAATGGTCCTTTTGATCTCTTCAAACTATGGGATTGACAATTTATATTAATATTTTAACTATCTTCTGATTTAGGTTTGCATCTGGGCTGTAAAACACGATCGATCGTTTGAACTCGAGTTATTCTGCGCAGTGAATGTATTACAATTTATATTTTTGGCCCTGAGATTGGATGGTTTTATAACTTGGAGCTGGGAAGTTGTGTTCGTGCCAGTATGGGCACTCCTTTGTTTATCCTTAGTGGCTGTTTTATATGCAATAGTGTTTGCCGCTGTTTTATTAAGAACGCCTCAGATTAATGCTCGTCAAAGGCGGACCTCCTTGAATTCAGCATTAGCTTATACATTTCTCGTTGTTCCCGTATTAATATTCCAGGTATAACTGTGCATCTTTTTACTTAAGTTGATCATGATTTTTCTTTTGTATATTACATTATTTACTCATTTATTATTCTGCTTTAGGTACTACTAGCAAATAAATTGGATGGAGATATTTCAATAAATTATACAACAGTAGTGATGCCCCTCCTTGTGTCACATATGACTCTTATATTCATGTCCTTTGGTGCTAAGGTGGAAATAGATGTAAGACAATCTTATAGACTGTTATTTAACAATATTTTAAAAATAATATAAAATATATAAAATATTTAAATATAATAAATAATATATAAAATATTTAATAATATTTTACATATTATTGATTATTTTTAAATATTTTAATATTTTTTAATCTGCATAAATATACATACACATGCATAATGTTAAAAAAAAGGACAAGGATTTATAAGGATTTATAAGGTGAATAATATACATCAAATCAAGTAAAAAATAATTATAAACATAAATCAAAAAACTTAATTTTATTAGAATTTAGTTTTAATTATTTCTGACACTTGTTTTTTTGACTTATTATTTATTAAGTATTTTTTACTCGATATATATCTACTTTATAGGTCCTAAATTCTTTGCTTTATTTCTATAAAACATACAGATATCTTTTTATAATTAATTTTAAGTAGAATATAAGAATAATGGAATTTTTGTCCAGGGTGGTTTGGTATCAGAAAAGACTTTTGTCACTTCCTACTAGGTTTATGTCCATTGCTTCAAGAATACGGTAATATTTCATACCAACCGAGAGATGAACGAGATCAACCACCATCTGAGCCAATGATTACAGAAAAGGGTGAAAAGCTTATAAAGAAAATCGACCTAATGAAACCTGTTGTGCCTATAATCTCTATAGATATGCCTGACTGATTGGCTAAAAACAGGTATTTATTGCAAAGACGCATTGAGAAATGTGCTATAAGCTTATATTTAACAATGTGATATAAATTGGCTGTCTAATGTTTCATTCTCTTATTTTACAGGGTTAACTCCTATATCTAAATATTATTTTTAATGCAATTGATTTATACAGAGGCCAAATATCTGATATAAAATAGTCAGGTAAAATTTTATATAAATAATACATAAATATTATATATATATAAAATACATAAAAAAATTAAATATGCATATAGAATATATAATTAAATATATGTCATAACAAAACAGTATATAATTTTTTTTATGTATTTTATGCAAAATAGTATGGGATTGCATTAAATATAAGATAATAAATTTAATTAATTTAGCTGTTGCTTATATTAAATATTTTATTTTAGGCTTTATCAAGCCAAGAGATTATATTAAGTGGATGTGTTGGCTGGGATACAAGACTGAACACTTTGCATCTTTAGGATAGCAGGATGTTTAAAAAATTAAAGAAGAAATCGTAAAAAAAAGCTGGATAAATCTAGAAAAGGCATGTTACTGTTAATATTGCTGGACATTGTAATATCAAATGCCCAATCATTTATTATATATTGTAATGTAGAAATAATATACAGACTGTTATATCACAATAATATTATGTATAAATATTAAATATTGTATGAATCTACCACATCATAGGTAGATAAAAATGCTAGTAAAACATGTTTTATATATGTATATTTAAAGTATATATATATATATATATAAACATTTAAAAATATAATAAAATTTCTATTTTTGGTATCAACAGCAATTAATTAATTTTATTTAGGCTAATATCTCTTAAATGTGTATATGTGCCTATAGAATATATGTATAATATATGTATACATATGAGACTATTAATAATTTCTTTCAAATTATTAATAATTTTGTTTAATAATTTTGTACTGGAAATGTTATAAATGTTATGAACAAAAGTACATGTATTGAATTTTTATTCGATTATCTTTAAAAATTATATATATATATATATATGTGTGTGTGTATATATGAATATTTTATATATTTTATAAAAAAATTCTCAAAAATGAAAAATATAATAGTTTAATTTTTGTAAGAAAAATCAAATTTGAACAAGTAAAAAAAATTGCACATATATAATAATATATGAAGTATTCTATATTAACAATAAATATAAATCTGGCGTTATTAATAAAATTAATAGTAATTTATTTTTATTTAATTATATAATAAATTAATGATTATATAATAATAATAATATAATAATTATATAATAATAAAGGTTTATTTATTTAAATTAAATTTACGTGTACCAACAAATTTTTAAAATTCCCTATTCGACAGCCAATCTCATTACATTGCATCTAGTTTTTTTTGGAAAGCTTTCCAACATAAACTTTCCCTAATCCTTCAAAATTCATTGCATATCCCATCTGATACTATCAAAATATCAATGACATAAAATTGTTTTCAATTCAAATTGTTGACATTTTTGCTCGTAATTTTTAAACGATTCGAGTTTGACAAATGGATATCGGAGAACTGTTATCTTATAAAGTGCGTATTACAATTTTCCACGCAATAATTTATTAGTATTATATATGCATTGAAATATTATATACCTACATTAATTAATTTAACCTCACAATTTTTTTGTATATGTATAATATTTGCTTCACAAAAATTTTCTTCATCAATTCCGCAATTTATCTCTTTATCACAAGTAAAAATAATATATGACAAATAATAACATAAGTATACATCATGCGATAATAATATGTGCAGCCACCAATTTTTTTTTATATATTTGCTTCACAAAAATGTTCTTTATTCCGCAATTTATCTCTTTGTCACAAATAAAAATAATATATAATAAATGATGATGAAAAATAATGACATAAGTATACATCATGCGATAATAATTTGTACAGCCACCGAATACCCCAAAACGACCAGCAGCAGGAGAAGAGGATGACGAGGATGAATGGGAAAATCCGAAGAAACCAAAAAGAGTGATAAAAACTCCGTACCATGCACGTCAACGACAGCCCAAGGAAGTTGAACCAATATCTTCCAGGGACAGCGAACCTCCCACACCTGTTAGAACTGCAGCTGTACCCTCATCGACTCAGGATGTGATGGAACCTCAGTTGACGGAGAAGGAGAAACAAGATATACTGAAATATGTAGAAACTGAAGCCCCCGAGGTCGAAGCACTGGACGAGGCGACGCTTAAACGTATGATTCTTTTATTCGAGAAGAGAGGTCTCAGAAATCAAGAGATGAGAGTTAAATTTCCAGATCAACCAGAGAAGTATGTACATATATATTATATAATATTGCAGTGTTATGCTTAGATGATTTTAAAATTAGGTAGATAAGGATGAGATAAAAATATGTAAATTTATCTTAGATAAAATAAAAATGATATTGTTTTAGATATATTTAAGTATTTAAGTATTTTTATGTGCTATGATTCTAAACCAAAATTATCTGAGAATTATTCTATATAATTTAGTAAAGGCAATACTTTTTTTCATCTAAAATGCAGATATAGATACATATTTTTATTATTTATATAAAGATAAGATGACACCAAAGTTTTATCTAGATGATCATCTATATCATTTTATTTAGATAACAGCAAATACTGAATAACATATAGTTAAGAAGAGTTAATATATTTTTAAACATACATAAAATCAGGCTTGGTTAATAACTAGTTAATTAGGTAAAAGTTAAAAAGTAACTTTTACTTAGCTTAGTTAATTTTAAATTTTAAATGTATTAATTTTTAACTTTAACTAGTTATTTTTGACTTTAAACTTATTAACATTTTTCCTAAGTTAAATTTTTTTATTTCTGAATATTATTTATTATTGTTTTTTTATAAGTTATAAACATATTACTTTTAAATTAAGGTATTATTAATTTTTGTTTATTTGTCATCAATTATAATTACCAAAAAATATATTTCTATATAAAATCAAAATTTCTTTGTTATGTGTTATATAATTTTAAAGGAATTAAGGGGATCCTAAATGCAAACTAAGGATCAACACATAATTCTAATATAAATAATTTTTAAAAACGTAGTGATGAAAACTTAATAAATTATTTGCCAGTACGATCAAGTAAAGTGTTTATTATTATTTTATAAATAATTTTTGTTCATGCAACTTTTAACTTAACTAAATTAATTTTATAAGCAACTAACTTTAACTTAACTTATTGTTAATTTTAAAAAATTATTAACTTACTCAATCCTGCATAATTTAACGATATTTAATGTTGTTATAATTATATATCATTATATATATATATAATGATATATATAATGATATATAATTATAACAACATTAAATATCGTTAAAAGATATATAATTATTTAATTAATCAATCTTAATATATATAATTATTTCTCTAAGCTTTGGACTTCTACAGATTTATGGAATCTGAGGTTGAATTGCACGAACTCTGCAAGAGCTGCATATTGTAGCGACTAATCCGGATCTGTATCAATTGATGGTGGAATTAGGCGCTGTGCCTTCCTTGCTCGAGTTATTATCTCATGAGAATACCGATATAGCAGTCGGCGTTGTGGATCTTCTACAAGAATTGACTGACGTAGATATATTACACGAGAGTCAAGAAGGTGCGGATACACTTATCGATGCTTTATTGGAGCAACAAGTTTGTGCTCTTCTGGTACAAAATCTTGAGAGACTTGATGAGACAGTGAAGGAAGAAAGTGACGGTGTTTATAATACACTTGGTAATTATTTAGGGGAAAGTACCCATATTGAACATTTAAAAAGTCTTCAAATATTTTCTTTTGACATTCTTAGGAATAAAATCTTTAATTAATATATTAATATATTGATTATACATATTTTATAATAAATTTTATAATATGCTATATATATATATATATATATATATATATATATATATATATATATATCAGGTATTATTGTGTACTTGTTATAACTAAATTTTAAAATATTTTGAAAACATAATATTATAATATCTTGATAAACAATTTTTACTAAAATGATGATTTTAATTTCCAGCTATTTTTGAAAACCTCCTGGAGTTTAGACCAGACTTGTGTGCAGATGCAGGAAAACAAGGGTTAATGCAATGGCTACTGCGTCGAATTAAGACAAAAACACCGTTTGACGCAAACAAACTTTATGCTAGTGAACTCTTATCTATACTTTTGCAGCACACACCAGAGAATAGACTTCTTTTAGGTGACTTAGATGGAATTGACGTTTTGTTACAACAATTAGCTGTATGCATTTATATTTTTCCTAAACTTTTATACGCACGTTTAACTAGGTTCAATCAATTAAAAATTAATTATTTACAGTATTATAAGAGGCACGATCCGCAGACTGCAGAAGAACAAGAGATGATGGAAAATTTATTTAATGTTTTATGTTCAAGTTTAATGGCTACTGTAAATCGCGACAGATTTCTGCGTGGCGAAGGTCTTCAACTTATGAATTTAATGTTGCGAGAAAAGAAAATGTCACGGAATGGATCTCTCAAAGTAAGTTTGTCTATAGGATAAGGTTTAATTATTAATCATATTAGTTAATAATATATTGTTATTGTTGTTATTATTATTATTCTTAATATTATTATTATTATTATTATTATTATTATTATTATTATTATTATTATTATTATTATTATTATTATTATTACTACTACTACTACTATATACTATTACTAGTACTACCGTTGCCACTGCCGTTGCCGCTGCCGTTGCCGTTACCGTTACACTATTACCGTTACTGTTACCGTTACAGTTACACCGTTACTGTTACCGTTACCGTTACACTGTTACCGTTACCGTTATACCGTTACCGTTATACCGTTACCGTTATACCGTTACCGTTATACCGTTACCGTTATACCGTTACCGTTATACCATTACCGTTACCGTTATACTGTTACTGTTGTTATTATTATTATTATTAATAATAATTGCAGGTTTTAGATCATGCTATGAATGGTCCAGATGGAAGAGATAATTGCAGCAAGTTTGTAGATATTCTTGGATTACGAACAATATTTCCTCTGTTTATGAAAACTCCAACGAAAAATCGAAAAAAAATGCTTACTGCAGAAGAGCATGAAGGTATTTATATAAATTATTGGAAACATACATAAGATGATTTATAATTGTATATTTTATATTTATTAATAGCATTAAAAAGCAATGATTGTAATTTTCGCTTAAGTTTGAATATAGAATGTTTGTATCTTTCACATAATGTTTTATGTTTAGTTTATGCATGGAATAAATTTTATTTGACAGAACAACTCTAATAATTGCTCGATAAGTTGGTTTTTTTATCTATCATTAGTTGTATTTAGCATTAAAAGATTTACAGAATAAACTGAATTGTGAAAATAATAAATATTTTTGCAGAACATGTTGTTTCTATCATAGCAAGTATGTTGAGAAATTGTAAAGGACAACAGCGTCAAAGACTACTTAGTAAATTTACAGAGAATGATTATGAGAAAGTGGATCGATTAATGGAATTACATTTCAAGTATCTTGAGAAAGTAGAGGAAGTAGAAAAGAATGGAAAGGTATACATATGCACCATAAAAATATATTTAAAACAGAAAATTGAAAATATATATTTTTATAATTTTATTTTGATCACAAGGAGGATGAAGATGAAGAGGAATCCTATCTAAGAAGATTAGATGGCGGATTATTTATATTGCAATTGGTAGATTATGTACTTTTAGAAGCATGCACTGGCTGTCCACCTGCAGTTAAACAACGAGTAACGAGAATCTTGGCACAGAGAAGAGCATCTCTTAAAACAATTCGGCACATTATGAGAGGTAAATTGCATCTAATAATCATTTAATTCTAGATTAAATGTCATCAGAGTTGGGTAAATTATAATAACAAAAATTTATTTTTTATATAGAAATGTATTTTTTTGTAATTACAATTATGAAAGAAAAATAGAAATTAATAGTATATAAAACTTTTATTATCATATTTGTAAGAATAATGTTCTTATTAAAATTTAATCATTATTAAAAAATTAAATTATCCAATGTTTAATATTTTATAAAAAAAATAATGGCGTTCAGAGATGAAAAATTGTTTAAATGAAAAAAATATATATATTTAAGTTGAATAAATAACTAGTTTAAGTTAAAAATTAAGATATTTTAAATTAATTAAGCTAAGATAAAAGTTATTAACTTTAACTTTTTTATTTAACTTTTAACTAAAATTAAATATAATACCCAACCTGAAGAATTTTATTATAAATTCATACCAAAAAATACTTATATATTTTTTATTTAAAAACCAGAATATGCTGGTAACTTGGGAGATGCTGGTGATACAGAATGGAAACAAGCAGAGCAGCAACATATCTTACAATTAATTGACAAATTTTGATATGTATTTTCTATATTTATGTCAAAATATATCATTGTAAATCGCATGATAAGATAATTTAGTAACTTTATATTATTATATACCTAATGTATAATGTAATAAAAGGTATGTTGTAATCATTACATAAATGTGTAGATATATTAAAAATAATACTATTAATTGAAATGTAGTCACAAAAAGAGATATATATAAAATCTTATTGAAATCCGAACTGAATCAACTTTACACATGTTTTGATACATGCATAATGAAAATATATATTTAATTTTTAATTTCTATGTTGGATGATATTAAAATATGGCATATATATGCATAAGTTTCTGAGAATAAAAAGGTGAAAGAATATGCTTTAATAGCATAAGTAAAAAATTTGTTAATGGATAATCATATATAACAAATATATAATAACTTTTTATATTTTTATTATGATTTATTCTTATTTTTTTATTTTAATTTTATTGTTTTTTTAATTATTTTTATTAAGATTTTTATAATTATTATCCCAAGTAGCAAACTGACATTAAACGTCAAAATGACGTCATTTTGACATTTTTATGATGTCAGTTTGGTACTTGGAATAATAATTATAAAAATCTTAATAAAAATAATTAAAAAATCATAATAAAATTAAAATAAAAAAATAAGAATAAATTATAATAAAAGTTATGATGTTATTATTTTAACGTTTAATGACATCAGTTTGCTGAGATAATAATTATAAAAATCTTAATAAAAATAATTAAAAATCATAATAAGTAATAAAATGTCATTTAATGTCTAATGACGTCATTCGACGTCAAAATAACGTATGCTGGAAAAATCATAATTTTTACTTTCTGTCATGAATATATATTATTATTGCATAAACGAGCGATAATGTTATGCGGGATTTAATTTTTGTCCAACTCCGCGTGAACTGTCAAAAATCATCTGATCGACACGAGCGCTGGCTACGCGCGCGCGCGTAATTCCCGCGTTCCGAGGGATCTCTGCGCATGCATATTATTCGTGACTAAAAATAAGGACTTAACCCAATCTTGGGGCCGAGACAGATAGTCGCGTACAATTTAATTCTGCAGTCTGAAAAATGGCGTGGTTATGTGCCCGTAGCGTCCTTCAAACGTGTCGACGGCCGATTTCCTACAGCCTCGCGTGTGCTCAAAAAAAATGTAAATATCTTCCCTCGTGAAATTTCGTTTCTCTCGTATTACGACACCACGTTTCACCTCCCTTATACACTTTTTTGGACGTACTCCATATTACGTAATATATTTTTCGTTCGCCTAATCATTTTCTTCATCTTTTTTTTCAATCCTCGTTGATGATATTTTGCGGAGAGAAAAATTCATTTTCATACGTTGACATTGATTTTTCTCGACAGTCGCCGATTCCCTGGATCATGCCACTGGTTTGGAAAAGAGGGAGATGCTCGCCCGTTTAGCCGGTAACGATGTAAGTTTTGACGTTTCTCGTATAAATTCGACTGATGCAGAAATATTTTTCTTTCGCTCTATAAAGTCCTAATAATATAGTTTTATATTTTTTTCCATTTTATCGTAGACTTATTTTTGTAGATCTTTCGTTTCATTCTGTGTACATTTTTATTAGAGATTAATGTGATAAATATTAATGAAAATTTCTTAATAAATATATTTTCCATTAATAAATATTATATTTATGAAATTATATTAATGAAAAAAAAAAACCAATATATTTTGTTAACTTACTCTTTCCTAGGATCCCTACAATTTGACTATAAAACGACGACCAGATAGTACAAAGGAGAATCCTAATATAGTCTATAGCGCATTTGAGAGTCGTATAATGGGATGTATTTGTGACGAGGATGCATTGCACGTAAATTGGATGTGGTTGCATCAAGGTCCTCCACGTCGCTGCGAGTGTGGCCATTGGTTTAAGTTGGTTGAGAAAGCACCTATATAATATACTTAAGGATGAACTAGTGGGTTGTTTTTGACATAGAATTAATATTATATTAGACAGTAATTACATCTATTATCATTTATTACCATATTCTCCTTGTGTATCCTATCCAAAAACAAAAAAAAATAAGAAATCTTTCATTGTATGGGAACTGCAAAAATAAACAAATATTGTAAATATTATGTATCATATATAATTTTTCATTTTGTTGAAAAATTCACAATTCTTTTTATTACTAAACTATAACATTTAAAAAAAATTGCAATCTTTTGAGAGATTAATGTAAAAATAATTTTTTGTTTTAAAATAAATTTTGCGCAAGCATAAATCTTAGAAAATATATATTTATTTATGTGTTGTGTACAAACAAAAGTTTAATTATAATAAACATATATTTACACATCACTTCTTTTTTCCAGTTCGTTCCAGTTTAAACCTACTTACAATTTTCTTTTCACTTTTTTTTTCTAAAGTACTATTTATTGGCGATATTTTATTTTCTTGGACTTTTTCCTTGATTACCTACAAAATATATTTATCAGTACATATAATTCTATTTATTTAGAGTTAATATTAAATTATTTTCACTCACAGAATTGTACGCAGACTGTTTAACAAATTCGACTTCATCTTCTGCATCAGTACTACTTTCTTCGTTCAAAGGAACAATTTGATTAGGTATCATATCATTTGGAGATCTTTTCAAAATGGATTTGGGAACAGTAAATAGTTTATAAATATCTACTGGGCTTTGTATTTCTGTATTATTTGATGCAGATATATTTGGAATATGAGATGAATGTGAAAATTCAATCCTGATGATATCATCTTCATCATTTTCAGAATCATCATTACATGTTTTATCTTGCTTAAACATTAATATTTCCCCTTCTGTATCGCTTTCTGTATTTTCCATACTATATGGTTCAATAAATGATACTCTCCCTGTTTTCTTTGCGTTTATGAGTTCGGATGTCTTCTCTTTTGATTCAGGTAAATGATTGTTTTTTAATTCCTCTTGACTAGAATTTACAGTGAGATCAAATTGTTCATTTTTTGTGACATTTATATCGAGAATTTTATCCCGAACTGCATCAGCACTGCCGTCTGATATATTACATGAGCTTCTATTCATTGAAATAGATTTCAATTTTAATTCCTCTTCAATCATCTCTGTCGTAATTTCGTCAGAATCAGATGTATCCTCCTCCGAGTCATTGTAGACTTCTCCCTCATCCAAATCACCATAAAATTCTCTTCGTTCAGTTTCCAGTCTGCAGTCATAAAATTTTAAACAGATTAGATCTATTCTAATTACATTCACCAGTAAAATTTCTTCAAAAATGAGCGACCTGCATATTTCGTCTTCCAGTTCTTCCTCCAATTCTAATTCATCTAATCTTTTAAAAAGATCTTCCTCGGTAGTAATATTAGTCTTTTCTTTTTCTCTCAACTTTACTAGTTTCTGACGATACTCCTTTTCACGCTGCCTATGTTGCGCTGTAATTATAAACTTATTTTAATTCTACCATAACACAATATATTTAAAAGAACAAATAAAACAAATATATTTACTCTTCCATTCATCAAGTTTGTCCTCATTCCAATGTTCCAATATATCTTTTCTTCCATCTTGTCCAAAAATATCATTTTTAATGGTAGATTTTGTCTCATCTCATACAAATTTCTTTCAACTTCTAAGTTCTTCAACATTTTATCTGCCCCTGAAATAAGAACATAAAATGTGTAATATTTGATATAAAATATGCAAAATAAAACAAAAACAAAATTTATACATGCTATCCTTCTGTTGCATAACAAGATTGCCTGTGATGCGCTATATTTTGCAAAATAGCCATCGCCTAAATAAACTAAAATTTCATTAGTGTGAATTAATTTTCCTTTCATTAGTGCACGCTTGCCAATAGGCACCATACAATTTTCCGACACTGTTAATGGATGCACTTCAAGCCCTTCTATCACCTTTTTATATTTGTTCTTGTAATCATTCAATGCATTTATTTGTTTTTCATTTTTTCCGAGTTCCTAAAATAAATCAATTAATAATAAATAATAAAATATAAATCAATTAATGATTTTTAGATTGCAATGTGATACAATTTAAATAAAAATTATAAATTATATTATTATTATAGAATTATTACAATAGATGCAATTTTAATAAAAAATATAATTACAATACCTGTGCGAACAAATTATTTAATAGCGTTCGTTCGTAACTTTTTATTTGTTCAGGTTCCATTGTTGTAATATTATGAGTTACAATATTATCCATTGTAGATATTTATAAAAAAAATCGAATATATATTTTTATGAAAAACACAAAGTGAAAAATATATTCGTAAAAATATACATGTGCGTTAAGCAAAATTTCCTTCTCTCCCTCGCATATTAAATTTTACCGAATTGTGGTTATAGGTTATAGACTCGCATCTCTATCTTTTAAATTGCGCATGCGCAATTTTACTTTCTTTTAAATTTTAAATTACTAGAACACAAGCGCGCATCATTCTGCGATTAAAAATAATATAAAGTTTATTTAAACTCCATTAACCTTTCTTGACAAAAATCTAATTGCATTAATTTGATAATAAAATTAATTTATTAATTAATTTTAATCAATAAATTAAAAAATAATAATTATTTAATAATTATTAATTTAATAATTATTAAATTATGTTAATTAATTTTAACATAATAATACATATTATACATTATTATAACATATAATAATTTTAAAAATATTTTAACTCAAGCAATATTTTTTGACAGTTATCAGCTGATTTCTGTTAAAAATATTATTTATGTGTATCAAAGATATTATAATATTGTTGATATTATAATATTATAATATTGTTTGCAATATATTACTGTCTTAATATTTTTAATATATTATAATTTCAAAATTAAATTAACAATAAATTAACACTTTAATTTACCAATTTCGAGAAATATTCAAAACTTTTCCACTCAATATATGTATAATTCGAATTACGAAAGAGCAACTATTCAAATCTATATTCAATCGCAGAATAAAATAATTAAAATATAACAATAGGGTTTAAAATTGAACAATGGTATTTATTTTAAAAAAGATATTTTTTTATTGTACACATTTAAATAAAATAAATTTTATTTTATATAAAATATATATTGTTTATATTTTGTAATAACAATGATCTATAAAATCTATATATAGTTAGTTCTATACTGTTGAAACATTCCTTTTACATACAAATCTTAAAAGGCTAAACACTTGGCAAATTTGAATGTTGGGCATCAGATGTGTGTCCAAATCAAACTTATAAAACTTATAAATTAAATTTTATGGAAGAGGGTTTTTTATAACAATAATAAGGAGATAGTACACTGACTCTGGTGTACTTTGGACAATTCTTTGTACATCAGACTTATATAATAGACTTTTATATTGATAAGATTTTAACATACAGATATATGAGATAAGATGCTTTTTTCGTCTACAATATTTTGAAGAGATGACATGAAACAAAATACTTTATTGCACAATCAATCAAGAAAAGCATCTACTCTCTATATTGTCTTTTTCTAATGAGCTCAACCTATTTAATTATAAATCTATAAACTCCTTTACTTTTATGTTACATATTTATATCTCTATGTGTTATCAACTAATTTCCTTTACATCAGAAATTAAAACCCTTCTCCTCGATCAGATCCGCAACTAATGCTACAACTAGATAGATATTTTTAAATCGATAGCTCGATTTCAGATAGGAGTTGGCAATACTGTACTTTGATTAAAGTAGACTTTGCCTCAATGAAAAAAAGATGATCATTATTTGGGTGTCTATAAGATTACATCTTTTTAATAAAAGCTCTTCCAATTAAGGTCTACTTAAAAATAATCTTTTTATTTGACAATATTTTTATATAGATTATATATTTTTGCAATAGTTTTTATAATAGTTTTTATGATAATAAAATCAAATAAAAAGTTACTATTGTAAAACGTTGCTTTGTCAAAAATATTATTTTCTTCATATATGTATATATAGAGAGAATTGTATAATTTTATCATATATAAGTGGACCTATTTATATAAATTGTCATGAAAAAAATATTACATAGCATACGAATTTCTTTAATGACTTAGCAATGAATCATTGCATTGTCAATATATACAGCAAAAATATAATCATAGCAATAGATAACGAAATCATACTCTGTAAAATCATATTTAGCCTTACATTATATAATTATAATCATATTTTTGTAATAATTTAATTAATTCTAATTATAGTCCTTTGCAGAGTGAATGCTCTTAGTGAATCATTATAAATTAAAAAATCATTATAATGATTTTTCACATGTAAATATATGATTTTAAAACAATCACATTTAATTTTCTTGATTCCAAAATCGAATGATTTTATTTCAATATTTTCCTTTAATTCTCAATCTTATTTTATAATGACATATGCAATATAAAAATATTGTGCGCTTTGTCTTTTATTTGTTTTTATTCTAATACAATACGGTAAATGTAAATAGTGAAAACAGCGCGAGAAAATATTAAAAAATAAAACAACTAATTTGAAATATACAAGAAAATTTAAATATAAAATTTTCTTCAGAAAAAAGAAAATCAACTTTCGAGTTTTTGTAGCAAAAAAATTAGCTAAAGATTGATTTCGTTAGAAGAGATGATTTCGTTGTTTATATTTTGCTTTCGATAAAGCTTATATCACTAAAGCTACTAATTTTCGCTAAAAGAAAAATCGTCAATTCAAATTTTCTAGTCATATAAAATCGAGTATAACCAGCCTATCTCTAATAATATAAAATGTCTTTTCGTTTTACTAGATCCACTAGCAATACAAACCACTGCCTTGATTTTCAATAATGTACTTTGTTAAGTATTGTGCTGCTTTTTCGCTTAATCCCAAGTTTGGCAATTGCTCTTCAAATTGTTTAATAGTGCCTGCACCAGCTATATAACCATTCAATTTAGCTGCCAAAGGAGAAGTACGCAAGACTTCTGGTGTGGTGAGACCCAGTGTTTCGATCAACCATGGGTGACCCTGTAGTCGATACTTCTGATGGTAGCTGCACAAGATGTATATATATAGATATATTTAACTATTAAATATAGCTTATATAATATATTAAATTATATATTTATAACTTAATTTTAATATTTATTTATAAATATGCCGAAAAATTTGCATCTAAATATTAACATTTATATATAATTATAGTAAAAATTCAATGAAAATACTTGAATGCAATTATATTATGAATAAAAATATTTAAAATTATGAGATATTTCTAATTAACTATTCTAAGAAACTATTTCTAATTTTTTTTAAATGAATTGGAATTTACATTTGAAGATCATACATGTATGTGTCTAGGTGAATAATATGATACAAAATATGTAGAATTATATGCTACTAAACACTAAAGGCTCGTCTACATAAGTAGTAAGCAATTCAGAGTAAAGAGTAAGAAGTAAACAGTACGAAATGGAATTTGTTTATTTCGTTACTCCCAATGAAACTTACTGCTTAATCTTTACACTGAATTGCTTACTGCCTATGTAAACGAGCCTTAACAGATTCTAATGTTGATGGGAGAGTTTCAATAAAATTATTTATTTTATATTTTTTGTGATATCATTTTAACTTAAAATCAATGACAAGAACATGATAAAATTTCTGTGTGACCTTTCTACCTTTTAAAAAAATTATATTTTTTTATTTTTTTAATTTGAAAAAGAGAGTTTTTAACTGCCTATTTACTTCCTTCTACCTCAAGAATTTGTTAGTGTTGCTAAATAATTGTATAAACACACTCGGCTATAAAATGATAACTTACTCTTCTGCTGGATAGAACTTTTTAAATTCTGTAATTTCTGTGACAAAGATTTCTCCTCGCTTTTTCTGTTCTTGATCACGAGATTTCTCAGCTAACAACCTTTGCTCCTCATCGTGATATAAAATTAGTGACATATACTGAAAATTGAATTTTAATTAGAATATTGATATACAAATGATATAGATTACATAATTAAATGTAATAAGTTATTATACATTTATTTCTACTAAAAAAAAAAAATATATATATATATATGTATATATAATATACTTAAATTATAAAACAGTATAAATATTTATAATTAAATATATTTTTATATTTTTGATACGTTAATATATTATACTAATGTGTATCGTTAAAATACCTGTCTCTTAATCTTAGTTGTCAGACCATACTCGTGATTATTCCAAAACAAGCTTAGCAAGTGTGTATAGGATACTAGTTCTGGATCATATTCAATGTCAATGACCTCCGTATGATCTCCCCTAGAGCAAACAAATAATAATTATTATATTCCTTACAATAATCTATTGATATTTTTGTGCTATGATGCTAAACCAAATTATCTGAACATTAGTAAGAAAAAGTAGGTCAACGAGCAATTTTAGATGTTGAAAAACAAGGAAATTTTAGATGTTGAATAATTTTTGTTTTAATATAATAAAATTAATTTATTTCAATATAGTAAAATAAAAATACAAAATACAAAATAAAAACATAAGTATGTAAAGTTCCTATCGTAAATGTATAATCATATAAACATTTTTAAATCCGCAAAGAATGGAATAAGAGATGCTACAACAAAATATAAATTTAATAATTTAAAAATTTAGGTGAGAGTTATAAATAATATCCTGAATTAAAATTGAAATAATGTCATAAATTGAAAAGATAAATGAAGATCAATTGATTATTGGACACATGTTTAATGAAACAAACTAATAAATCAAATTCATTATTGGTATGCGAGAAAGTGATGGTCAAATATTTTCACGAGTCAATCTCTTTTGAGTTCAAAGTTCCAAAGACATCAAATCAAAATATCAGTAAAGATAATACTTTTTTTATCTAAGATATATTTTTATTTAAGATATATAAAGATAAGATTACAGCAAAATTTTCTGTAGACAATCATGTATATAATTTAATTTAGATAATAGAGCAAGCACTGGTGAAAAATTACATGTTCCTGTAGACCGGGGAGTCCTTGGTGCCTCCAGCGTAGCCCACGCAGGTTCTGATGACCCCGGGTAGCGCCCCGAAGAGGGAATCTCCCGCCCAGAAGCAGCCCATGCCGAAAGTGGCACGCCTGCCCTTGATCTCCTCCAACTGACCCGGCATCCTGCTGTACGGGCAAACATTATTGTTGCGTTCAACGAACCCGTGATACGACGTGACGGAGCAATTGTTCGCGAGAACGGCCCGCACCAGGCACGGCAACACGATCCCGGCGATCACGGAACGGCCACGGGTGCACGACATCGCCTAGATATCGAAACGAGAATTCTCCGCCTAACGTTACCTCCGTGCGAGACACCTCCGCACCAGTGGCATCTGTCAAAACCGGTATCGCGGAGATATGGACGAAAGTATGTGGTATCGACGAGGTTAGAGGGGACGCGAACGCGAGAAGGAAAGCGGCGCCTCGCGACACGTGTCCCGTCAGACGCGCGCGCGAGCGCGGACTCTGGCGGACTCGAGGCCGCCAAACGTCAAACGTCAAACGTGTCACGTGCGCGCGCGAAGGCCAGCTGATCTCGAGTTGATCGAATGCCCGGATTTCGTGGTCGGATTATAATTCATTGCCAACTCCTCGAGAGAATGTAAGTGCGGATATTTTGGAACACTTGGGAATTGCGAATTCTTCATTCAGAAATGTGATATATATTTAAAAGAAATATATATATATATATATATTTCTTTTTAATGAAATATATAGTGTAAATAGCTATATATAATATATATATATATATATATATATATATATTATATATTATATATATATATACAAATGATATTGATATACAAATATATATAATATATATATATATATTTAATAATACATTTTATTTATATGACTTATAAATTACGAAATAACAGTAATAAGATAAGAGTATCATAAAAAAAACTGGTTTTGTGTAACGTTCAGACTTTGCGATTGTTTATCAAATATTTGGTAAACATCAATTCCATGAAAGAATCATAATTTAAAGGTTTTTGTCGTGTCATAAAGGCTTCAAACATTCATAAAAAGTTCGCTTTAATCTATAATGCATGATAATGCATGATAAAATTCAAGACGAAAATCTATGTTTCATTTTCTGTGTCACATGTGTATATCATATTTCGTAATATATATTTTGTAATATATATTTTGTATTTATTTAAATATTTTCTGTATTTCATGAATGTGTGTAAAATATATATATATATATATATTTCTTTTTAATTAGCATGTTGAGACACTATTATCTAAAAATCCAGATGTATATATTTATATGCGGAAGATAAATTTCAATGATCAACATTTTTGTTACTGGAAGTTGAGCTTATTTGTTTATAAGCGATAAAAATATTTATCTATACTCAAATTTATCGCAACCGCGGGAGATTTATTATAAAAAAACCAATATATTTTATTGCAAATAAGTAATAAAAATTAAAAAATATTAATATTTTTTTATCAAATATAATATTTTAAATTTCTTATACATATATTATATATTCTTCTAAAAAAAATCATGCTATCTATATCACGCAGTCGGTAGTTGATTTATTAATTTATCAGTTATTATCAGTTAATTAATCATTTTTCGAGAAAAAGAATAGCGACGTCTTCCGTTTCGCTATCCGAAAATTATCACAGAGCTTCATTGATTTATATCTCGTTTTTAAAATCATTAACATTCTCGGTGCTTATCAGTTATAATTTATTAAAACTGTTCACATAAATTATAAATAATCATCGCTTTTTTCCTTTTAGTTTTACATTTTTACATGGGATTTTCAAACTGTGCAGTAAAAAATATTGTTGGTAATTTTTAGACAAAATCTGATAACATACCTCATAGTATTTAAGTAATTTTAATTAGTATAATATTATATTATTTCTATTTCTAATTTGGCGCAAAATTGTGTCTTTTTGATAACTATGTTATTATTCAGTTAATATTTAATCGTACTTTTTTATTATTATATTAATATATTATTACACATAATATTGCGCTTCGCGCGGTTCCGAAAAGCTAGTATAATATATTGCGCAAATAAAGGAAATTGAAAACAAATATTGTCATTATACAAAAATTTCGATTTTTTACTAATAATATATAAGGTAACATATTATTTTTGCTAATACTTAAATAGAGCAAATGCACATCATTTAACACAAGTAGAAATCTGTCTCGATTTGCCGAGATTAAATACAGGGCCTAGGCAAAAGAATCCAGTTCGAAATATCTGTCTTTGAAAGTCCAGAATATACCCTAGAAATTTACCTTTATTTTACCGAGGAAAAAAATAATCAGAAAAATCTACATGTATTCTACATCGCCACTGACATATTTTTTCCATTAGAATAAATATGAAACTATTTATGGGGCTAAGATTAAATAATCTAGCTTATAGAAATAATTATAATACAAATCAAGCAAATAACCAGATAGCACTATGTCCAAAATGCACCCATAAGACATTTTTAAGATGTTTTCAAGATGTCTTTGGGATATCATATTATAAGATTTCTTAAAAATGTCTTAAAGATTTCTTATGATTTCTACCTAGGAACGTTAAAAAAAATTAGAAATTTCATTTTAGTCATTCTTTAAATTTGTCAACAGTTTCTTCATACATTAATATAATATAATATAAATATAATAATATATAATATAATTATAATATATATATATATATATATATATATATATATATATATATATATATATAATATAAAATATATTAAAAATTAACAATAAGAGAAAATTAATGCAACTAAATTTATTTGACTAAAAATTATATATATAATATAACTTATAAAATAAATTTATAAATTTATTTATGATTATATGAACTAAAAATGTCTTTATTTCTTCATTATTTATTAATTCGAATTCTTGATATTTACTGCACGATATGTAATAGAGATATATATACAAAATATATACATTTTCTGAATTACAAATTATAAAATTATTTTTAAATCAGACCATGTCTAAATCATTCAAAAAGACTCGGAATATTTCTTGCCAGCAATACGTTACAATATCTGATTCTATAAATGTACTCTCATCCGTTTTAGTGATGACAATTGCAGTTTCGGTACAACCGAATTTTAAAAAGATGTATAATCTCTGATTTTCACGAAATTTAATAAAAATCTCCAAAATGATTCTATTTGATATTATAGCTGAAAAGATTACATTAGAAGAATTTCAAATGAAATTAAATAGTAGTTAAGCAGTTTTCGTAACTGATATATATTATAAGTCTAGATAATATTTTTTGTTTAACAATTAATTTAAGAAAAAAACTGTCGAAGAATCTGTTATAAAAACAAAATAAAATTAAATATAGATTTTAATTGTAGGAGAAAATAAAATATATAAAAAAATACAATTGAAGTTTGAAAGCAATTAATTTTCAAATTTATTATAAATAGTATAAATTTAATCAAATTTATTAACAATAAAAATTATATATATATATATATATTTTAAATTATTTTTTTAGTATTTTATATTTAAATTTAATTTAAGTATATTACCAGAAACATTTTCGTGTATACGAATTTAAAAAAATAAAATAAATTTGAATTTTGTTCATTACCTTAAGTGAATTTGATGCACACAATCGGGGGATGTCTGACAAAAAAATATTTATCAAACGATCGAATAAAACTCCGAATAAACGTGAGACCTGTCGAAATAAACTTCGGACTCTTTACGGAATTAGAGTGGAACTTACTGCGGTGTGCTATGGAGAGCACTCAGTTTTTATGTCCCACGAGTAGACATATCTCTCCCCACCAAATTCTTCGTTCTCCCACTTCGCACAATAGACGACCGTGTGATTCATTCGCGCATTTAAATAGATATATTTTTCTCTTTTTTGTATAATTTTTTCTTATTATGAGGAAAATAAAATCTTAAATCAAACATTGTATAATAAATAATTATACTTAAATAATTATTACCATGTGACTCCAGGAGGGAGAAGAGTCTATTAAAAATAATTAGCAAGCGAATTAGCAAGCTCTTTAAGAATTTTATTTTTATCATTCCTTTGTATCTATTATACTTCCTATATTTTGTCATCATTTGTAAAATAAGAAAAAAATATTGAAAAGAGGAAAATATCTAAAAAGAAAAAGATCTACTGACATGAAACGCGCAAAACAAATCGCCGTCTAATAAGTATGTAGAATAGAAAAGAATTAATGAGATTTACTATATTTTCTTTTTTTTTCTATCGCGGAATTATAAATTTTTTACGTTGTAAAATTCTGTTATGCACACATTACACAAATTTAGAAAATTAATAAAAAATAAAAAACTTAAAAAAATATTTTGTTAATATATATATATAGAGGGTATTTTTATAAAGTATATTTTTAAAGATTTTATTACTTTTTTGTAAATTTTTTTAAATTGTAACAATATAACAGAATTTGCAATAAAATTTGACACAGAATAAAACAAAATAATATGTAAAATAAAATTCCAATTTAAATGAATCTTAATTCACATGAACTTTTATCATTTAAATACTTTAAATATTTTGTTTTTTTTTGTATTAACTTCTTAATAAGCTGCTTAAGTTATTTTTAAACATTCTACTTTTATGTGCGTCTAAATATTAAATAATTAAAATTTTTTTATTAATGTATAAATAATTTGAATTTTTGATAATATTATATTTCGAAATCTCAGATTCGAGCAGTTTTATTTTGATTACAAACGAAATACAATTTCTTTATATATAATTGTTTTAATAATTTATATTTTTAAATTAATGTAGATTAAAATGTAAATGTAATTAATACTTTTACAGTATATACATTTAAACAGATGGTTGTCTATTTGTTATGTTATTCCTTTTTTTGCGAGCGCTCCGCATAAATTAAAAAAATATTTTTACGCAAACTTTAAATAGCATAATGGGTTTAAGAAAATTAATTCTAAAAATTTAGCGTGTCTAGAAGTAATAAAATTACTATAAAAAATAACTTTGCATCAGTTAAATAATAAAAAGCTGTGTTACATATAATTGCATTTTTATGCAAAAAATTTATACTGTACATTATATAAAAGAATGACAAGAAATTCACAATGTTTACTGTCTATTAAAATTGCAATTTATGACTAAATATTTGTATTTCCATATTGCCTATATTATATAATAAAAAATATATAAAATATATAAAAATATGATATTAAGCAAATTTTATTATTAGAACATATCCATATAATCTGTAAATAAAAATGCATGCATCTTAATGCTACTTAGATTTCTGTCAAACTTTTCTGTCTTAAACCCATTTTGTTATTTAAAACTGATAAAAAATTTTTTGTTTTTAATAATACGCAATTGCACAAATTAGATTACATTTCATTATTTTATCGAATATTTAAAAATTATAATTAAACGTGTCTAATTATTTTATTAAATGTCAACAAATGCATAAAAATCCAAATTATTATTCATAATTTTAATATGTAACAATTTGATAATTTCAATATTTATGATTTCATTATAATATATAATTTTATTTTTTTTTTATGAATTAAATCATTAACGATCAGCATATTAATTTAGACACAAAAACAGTATTGAAATAATTATTTAGTGATTCAAATTGTTCAATAAATATATATATATATATATATATATATATTTATATTTTTTTTACAATTACAAATTTAAAAATTTTTATAATCTTTTGTGAATATTGAAACATATATAAATGGTCTTTAATAGTTTGACATTTCAAAAATTTGTTATATTATAAATTGAAAGATTTTTTTTAGATACTCACGCGTTTCGACGAGAATGTCTGATGTAACACGATATCATAAATTTGTCACGTTTCAGCTAGAATATGATTATCCGACGCCATTGACCTCGTAACTGTTGGACACTATTGATCGAGGACACTAGATTAATTTTTCCCAAGTAGTGTCTCTTAAAAAAAATAATGTTTTATTTTTATCTTTTGTTATAAAATAATAAATATTTATATAAGATTAAAATAAGTTAATTAAAATAAATAATATATAAATAAAATAACATAATATAATAAAAACGATAATAAAATAAAAATATTAAATAAAAAAAAAGTAATAAAATAAATTGACATTAGAGGTATGAAAAGATATATGAAATACTTGAAATGTGTAATACATAGACATCGATTAAGCTTTAATTAAACGTAATATTGAAAGATTCTGATGAGAAATTAACAAAATATCTAGTCTAGAATAAATTAGAGCCCAATATGCTGATTCGATATCGGTGTAGTTAATAATTAATTTTATACTACAGCTTTATTTTAAATGATATAAAGGATCAAAATGATATAAAGTGTTGATAAAAATATCATATCTTTCATTAATTGAAAGATTCGCAGTGTGATTAACAAAAGTGGCGAGCAATACTCAACAGAAGGTCTATAGCATACAATTATTTTCAGATTATATATTTTATCGCGCGCGCGCGGATATAATTTATGTTTTTTGAATGTAAAATATAAATCACACACAGATATCTAGATGTCCTTCTTTTCGCATAGATTTTGAAAAATAAATTTAACAGAAATACACAAAGATACATACAATATTACTCGATTTTTGGATTCGCTGCGTCCATATCAGATTGTGACGTCAGAAGCGAGAACATATACGCTGAAAATTTTTGCGTGCCATTTTTAGATAAAAAGATATTTTGATGAAACACAATTTCAGATGCTTTTAGCACACTATCTTTTTATCTAAAAATGACACGCAAAAATTTTCAACGTATATTTTCTCGCTTCTGACGTCACAATCTGAACGAGTACTGAAGAGCCTTATAATCTCGTGTAATATTTTAATACCACTTTCTTGTTTATTGCCAATTGGTGGCTCTAATGATGAAGCTCAATAGGACGCGATGGTTGCATCAGAAGAGACAAGCGTGATGCAGAGGCGAGTTTGATTAAATCAGTTCTCAATTGAGAGTCGACTGATGTAATCTTCCTTCTCTGGCCGCTAAGCCATATTACTATGACTATCATCATCCAGCTGTTATCAGTCACTATTTAGTTCCTGACCCATTATACTTCTGTCTAGTCATACACGAGTGAAATTTGCATTATCATGCTGATAACAGTATCGGGATAACTCACAGAAGTATCAGTATACAGTTGAAGAGAAGAACGAAATCGCTTCGACGAAATTACTATATGTAATTATACACATACAATATTATTATAAAGTAAGTAGACATGTAAATGCCCAAGTGTTGTAACACGTCATACATATTTGGAGTAAAAATTCAGAGTGAAAGAAAACTTATATAATTGTGATAAATTAATGTTTATAACCAGTGTTTTCTGTTATCTAAATAAAATTATATAGATGATCATCTAGATGAAATTTTGGCGTCATCTTTATGTAGATAAAAAATATGTATTATCTATATCTGCATCTTAGATGAAAAAAGTATTATCTTTATTAAATTATCTAGAATACTTTTCAGATAATTTTGGTTTCAAATCATAGCACGTAAAAATAGTAATATGAATATGTATATTTTATATCCCTTTTATAATTTATACATTTTTAAATAACTACGTTTACATAAGCAGTCTTAAACATTATTACTAGAAAATTATCTAGATGAATCGCCATATAATTTTATCTTTTATCTAAATATATTTGAAACAAAATCATCTTTATCTTATCTAAGATGAATTTACATATTTTAATCTCACCTTTATCTAGCTAATTTTTAAATCATCTAAGCACAATACTGTTTATAACTAAGAAAGAATCATAAAAGAACTTATCTATAAAATTTGATGCACACCGCCTGTTTGAGGATCAGAAATAATATTCAAATATAAGATAACATATATACAGTGATTTTATTTTATATGTATAACGTTACTATAATATATATATTACAATACCATAACAGGTGATGTCACATAAATTCGTTTCAAATACAGCCATTAAAATCAATCTTCACCATAGACATTCGTATTCGAACCAAGTATGAATAATACCTTTACCACATTGGAATAATCATGACAATGTACAAATTTACGATTAACGCAAGATTTAAGGATGAATCACGAAATACGATCGCAAAAAATTTGGCAACGTTCATTATTGCATTGCGATGGAATGTTACGAGTTTTTATTTATTTGTACTATTTGTACTCCCGTTGAAAAGTTTCTTTCAAAATTTTGAATATTGTACGGCACGAAGTATACAAAGAAAAAAAATTTGCCAAAATGGATTATTTCATTGTACACTGAATATTTTGAAATTTGTCACTATTGTATTCCATTTTGATTTTTTGGATCTGGCGTTACATATTTTTTTTTTTTTTTTTTTTTTTTTTTTACATAAATATCTACATACTTATGTATTCCGAACAATGTCAAATTTAAACTTAACCGCCTTAAAAGGCCTAAAAAACAGGTGCAAGTTGTAAATCAGTGATGTATGTGACTTGCTATAAACGCAAAACGAAGAATTTCGGTGAAGTCTATAGAGTTGTAATATAGATAAAAATACCACATATCAAAATTTACAAATAATCTTTAAATCGATATAAAAAATCGGTTTTCACTTAATCCTCTTACAGTTAGAGTTTCTCATAGAAAACATTGGAAGTTTGTTTGATATAGTCTTATATATCTGTTTTTGGAGATGCTAGAAAAAAATTTGAATCTCTAAAGCACAATATATCTCTACAAATGTAATACACATTACATCTCTCTAAAGAGTGTATAATCTATACATTTCTTTTTTAATATTAGCAATAAATAAAAGTAAAAGTCTGTACAATACTTAAACATCTTTAGACGTTGAAGAGAATTCTGTAAATAATTTAAAGAAAAATGCAATTAAATATATATATATATATAATATTTCTGCGAATGTGTAAGTACACGGTTCCCTATAGTTTAAGTCGTAACAAAGTGTTTTCTCTTTGTTGACATCAAGTTTACAAGCGCCTGCAATTCACGTGATAATTTGCAGGAAAAAAAACTATTTTGTTACGATATTTATTTAAGTACACAGTGCCGTTCGCTATTAGAACCGCGATAATTATCTCAACTTTAAAGCTGTCGAATTTTCACGCTACTATTATTTGTGATGTACATATATGTATATCTCTTGTACATCTCGTGTATATATGTAATATATAAATTGTTAAAAATATATATAATAAAAATTAATCACACATTGGAATTGGATCGAATATACGATTTGCAAAATTGTAGAAAAAGGATGTATGGAAGATATCTAAAATGGTACAAAATTAAATTTAAATTTAAATTTAAATTAAATTAAATTTAGTTTAATTTAATTTAATTTTAATTTCCGCTAGTTTTATAGTTATATAATTTTACGAAAATTCGATTATTATATTACGTTAAAAATATCGAAAAAATGGTACCATGTATATCAAATATTTTACATGTATAATTTAAAGAACTTTAAGGAACAACGTTGCAAAATTGCATTAATATTCACTAGATTGTTTAGAAGAAAATAATAATAGTTTATTAAGATTTCTTGATACGTCGCGACCATATTTAGATTGTGACGTCAGAGATGGGAAAATTCAACGTATATTTTTCACTTCTGACGTCACAATCTAACATAGTCGCGAGTACCAAGGAGCCTTAAAATTCCTTCTCCGATTACTGAATATTCAGTTGTGTCAACGCTGAAAACAGCTGAAAGTTAGGAAATTAAACTATAGCGATTTTCTATAATTATAACATCCCAAGTAGCAAACTGACGTCATTAAACGTTAAATGACATCAACAGTCGAAAATGCCGTCATTTTGACGTTTAATGACGTCAGTTTGCTACTTGAGATATTATAATTATATTATAATTATATTATAATTACGGCATTTTCGTCTGATGACGTCATTTTAACGTTTAATGACGTCAGTCTGCTACTCGGGATAAGATGTACAGATTTTCTGTAAGATGAAGAATAGCATTGGTACTTTTGTCTCCGATTCTATCTCCCATACATCCTTAGGAACACATCACATCGAGTCTTCTCTGGAAAAAAATACTAGAAGCGAATCGCAGGAACACATTCTCTCATTTAAAAAAAATCTTTCTCGCGAGGAATCCACAAAGAGATTCCGAGCAGAAACTAAATACGAATGAAAAATCTCTAGATAGTAGAGTATGAAGGAAGACGTGTGAGGGGAAAAACGAAACAATCGAGGAAACAAACGGTGACAAATTAAAAACAATTAACGTAAAATAATAAAATAAAAAAAAAATGCATTACATGACGGCGCAGCAGTTCTTCTCCGTGTGATTGTCGCTGACGATCTCGCTCGTGTTCCCGGTGAAGCGTTGCGTGTAGTCGTCGGTGCTGAGGTCGGAGTTCGAGATGGACGAGACCGGCATAGGGATCCCGTTTCCGTTCGCGTCCAGCGAGCCGCCAGAAATGTGCCGGTTCTGGGCCCGTTGCTTCTTCAGGTCCGAAAGAGACTTGACGAACACGACGGAGACGTGGATGTTGATCTTGCCGTTGGCGTCGCCGTCCGTAGAGTAAATCGGCGACTGCTGCTGACTACCGATCGGCGAATCGTGCCCTGTCACTGCTGTCAGGCACAAACAGGGTAAAGATCCAATGTGCTACTCTTCACCCACCCGCCTCAAAAGGGCCCCGACACTTTTCTCCTCACTCTTTCTCGTCCCTCCACCTCATAATCAACCCCACTTTCTACTCCTGTGCACTGAGTATAAAAAAAAAAAAAAAAAAAAAAAAAAAAAGACGATGTCAACTATAAATCACATGCGCCAAAAGCTTTTCCACATGCTCCTTGTAGCAGTACAAGCATTTTCGAAAACATTGCATTAAGACTCTTTCGTATTCGCTGTGACCATGTTAGATTGTGACGTCATAGAGGCGAGAAAATATAAACTGAAATTTTTGCGTGTCATTTTTAGATAAAAAAAAGATATTTTGATGAAACGTAATTTTAGATGGCTTTAGTACACTTTTAAAATATTGCGAAAACTATCCTTTTCCCTTTATAATCAATCAACTGTAAAATGACTGTAATATGAGGCTTCATCCGTATACAATCTTGCACATGCGCAGTCATTCCGCGTGAAAAAATCTCATGTTTCAATTATTTTATGGTTGTTGATTGACTGTCAAGGGAAAAAAATAAATGCAAAAATTTTCAACGTGTATTTTCCCGCTTCTGACGTCACAATCTGACTTGGCCGCAGCAAGGAGCCTCAAGAAGGACCACCATATGCACATTTTGGTGTATACGTACACACAGTATATATTACTGAACGGATATTTATATATAATAAACGTGATTACAAGTGGTTGCGTTTTACGCAAGCAAAACTAATAAATATAAAAAAGAGAGAGATAGAGAGAGACAATTATACGGTATAAAGAGACGGCTTACGTCACAAAGAGCAGGAAACGGTGTTTGTACGATTAATGATCTGTATGTCTTTTTATATTTGTACTACAGTGAAATGTTTTCCAATGATTCAACAGCTACTACAAATGATTATTATATTTGCGCATTATCATTATTATGAGAACATGATCTATCTCATCGGGATCTCTTATCGAATAAGAAACGTATTAGTTTTAAAATATTTTATCTCTAAAGCGCAGTATGTTTATATAATGTCATTTATATAGGAAACGTAAATATATAAAGGTCCGTTGGCAATTTCTTCTACCAATAGCTTTATCCTCACTATATCTGATATGTTTTTTTTTAATTTTTGAATTGACTATTTCAATAAAATGAAAAATTATATTTTTCATTTTTACTAATCCATTAAATAGATAATAAATTTTATTCGACTAAATACTTTTATTTTTAATTGACAATAAAATGAAGAATAAAATAATAAAAAATAAATATAATAAATTTTATTTTGAATAATTTTATTTTTTGAATTGACTATATCAATAAAATGGAGGAAAATATGATTCTTAATCATTTTTTCCAATAAAAATAATAATTTTCTAATAAATAATATTATAGATCTGAAGCATTTATTGTTTGATTAGCAGATAAATTTGCTATCTTTCAATAAGTTTCGAAAATGTAAGAATTTGATATAACGAACATACATAAAAAATTCGTAGAGAATTGCGATCACAACTTTTAAGTCATACTTTAGGCCCAAAATTTGCTCATTATACTATGAGCGCATTATCCGACAAAAGATTTACTAAAAAAACAGAGAGTGACAATCTCTTCTAAATATATATAATATACATATATACTTATTCTAAAGAAAAAATTGCACATAATACTATATGTATATAAAGAGTATAGAATAATATATATCTTTCAAAATTCTACTTATTGTGCGTCCTCTACTAATATACGATATATATAGTTCTCTAAATCGATTAGGCTCCAGTTTATGTAAGAAAGTATAGAAACAATTCGACATATCTACAGTAAATATATATACGTTCGTTTGATTATTATTCTATATTGCGCTTCTTAAGTGGCCGCTAAATAAGCTTTGCTAACGCGCGGTCCACAAAGATATGCTAAGAAAGCTAGTATCATTTTAGGTCTTATCAAAGAGATTCGATGTAGATAAAACGAAAATGTGTGTGATCGTGTGTGTATGTATGTGTGTGAATTTTAACATTTTTTTAGAGAGAAAAATGCATTATGCGTAGCACATATTTTACGTACATTTTGAGCGAATAAATATATCGTATCAGAGATGACATGAATGACACAAAAAAGATAACATAATGTTAAATGCATCGTATAGAGCTCATGAAATGTAATAATTAAAGAAATAGGAAAGTGACGTAGAAAACTGACCTCGCAATTATTCAGGAGCACGCAATAGTGAAAAAAAAAGAAAAAGCTGGTAAATAATCGAACAGCTAACACACAGTGAGTTTAACAGAGTACATTTATGGGGATTTTGCAATTAGCAGATTTGTTTAATATTTAATCTATAAATTTGAAACTATTTTTAATTTTTCATAAAATCTCAATTCTCTTCTCTCTCTCTATTAATATTAAATTTTATTTCTTAAATTATATAAAATCGCGTTCTCTCCATCAAATTTATCATCCGCTCTTTCAACGGTACGATATTCGTAATTAATTATTATTATTCTCAGCATAATAATTTTCTTATTTTTAGTGAGCATCTTACAGATATAATATATAAAATATACCATCTTTTTCTATTTTCTATTCACTTATATTTTCTTATGTTTCCAATATAGGACATTATGTGGTAAATGAGCATAAATATGTATATATACATATATAAATATATGTACAATTATATATATACATATATGCTGCAATTTTTAAATTATATATTTTCCAGAAATTTCACCGCATAAAAAGCTACCATTTATAACAATATTCTACTGAACCACAACCATTGCAAGTAAGAATGCATTTGGAATGTACCTGAATCTTTATCAACATCTTCGTGAAGAAAAGACTCGTTGTCCTTTCCTTCGGGACCTTTTCGCACCGCTGGTGTCAGTGTACTAGAATCAGTCTCATGGTCTCCTACTTCCTGCGTATTATTCTCCAATGGCGGAATACTAGGTGTAGGAGCACTAACATATGTCTGAAAAATTTATTTGACTGATTAATTGTATTTATACATTCAGATTTTAATATTTAGCATTACAGGGTGTTTCATTTTAATTAATATAATAAAATAGATATCTTTAAAATTATTACTATTGTATTTTGTCAGTTATAAAATAGCTCGTAAAATATTTATTTTTATCTTATCTCGATACTTTTATAAATAATTTCATAAATAAAATGAAAGAAATCAATTGATGTAAAAAAGTTTTTGAAAAAAAATATGTTAACTGTTAGTTGCAAATTACATATACATATACGAAGAAAATAGAAAACATTTAAGGCTCCTGGCTCGCCTCTGACGTCATAATTCCAATATAGTCGGCGAGGAGCGGGAGCCTTGAAATATTTGTTAGTTTTCTAGAAATTTAGCCGTACCTGTTGTGCTTGTAACCTAAACCGCGCTTCCTCCTGAGCATCTTTTTTAGTAGTAAGAACCTTATCTCGAATGGATGTTCGACGCACGCTCTGTGTCCTTGTATTTATGCTCTGCGATCTGCGTACCCTTCGTCCTTGTGCTTCACGAAGTCGTTTACTCTCCTGCTCCGTTTTCAATTCCACTATTCTCTCCCTAATTTCAGGATCTTCGCATATATCTGTGGCGTAATATTATGAGATGTGAAAAGAAATTAAACAAGATAATGCATGTAATAATATAAGTCAAAATGAGTCGACAATTGTTACCTGCGGGAGTTTCATCGTGTTTATTCTTCGCATTTAGATCTGCTCCATTTTGCACCAACAGCTCAAGTACTTCCAACTGCAATGTCGTGTTTAATTTATTAAACTAATATTTATACAGGGTGTCCCGTAGGAAATTGCTGAAACTAATCAGCTGTCATTTTTAATGCGTGCAGTTATTGAGAAAACAAAATGGGACACCCTGTAGATGTTATTTTTTTCCTTCTATTTTTAAGGCCATATTCTTAATTTTGCAAAATTTTTATCTTGAAAAGCTTTAAAAAAATAGCACAATTGTTTGAGACATGTGTCTCAGACTTGGAGAATCACAACAAGATGCTTTTCTTCTGAAGATATATATTAGATTAATTAGATTGATAGGTCTAAACTTCTTAACTCTGATAAAGCTATCTTTATCTTAGACAATCAGTTTCTTAGGGAGATTAATTGATAGGCTGCTTAAAGCCAGATTTCCAGCTATACTACTATTGATTATTTTACAGTATTTCGAAAATGTTCTGTTTTCTAAAAAAAAATTCTGATATTTCTGATATTATTCTGAAAAAAATTCTGATAGCATTTCCAATGCCACAATAAAAAAAACCAAAATCAGATTTCTTAATTCTGACATATTCAGCAAACCATACAATGAAACAGTAATGAATTGTTTTAATGACACAGTTTCTCTCTATTATACAACTATTATTGATCTTATTTCTGTTTAAAATATTATATTATAATCTTATGTAAAAAAATATTAAAATATTGTATTAGAAGAATCATAAATATAATATATATATATTATATAGAAAATGTAAGAAAATAAATTGGAGTAATCTTAATTTTGTAAAACAAATATTAATATTATATAGTAATTATATTATCTCTATATCGCATATTGCTTGAGTTTTCATTTTTCAATAATATATATATATATATAAAATATTTTTATTAATAAAAAAACTTATAATAATCTTAAAATGAATAGCTACAAAAATAGATAAATATTAAGCTTACATGTCCCCAACATGCAGCTGCATGAACCGGTTGCCACTTATCATTGTCCTCTACATCTGTCGATACATGTTGATCAAGAAGAAATTCTACAACTCGTAAATAGCCATTTGCCGCTGCAATGTGAAGCTGTAATAAAAATTGTGATATAGTTATAAAATTTTATAATAGCTTACTAATTTTTTCTTATTTCAAAGCAAATCTGAATATACATACAGGTGTAGCACCTTGATGATCTTTATATTCCATATCACCTCCTAAAGAAGCAATTTTTTGCAAATCCCGTAACATTTGAACTTCCGTTGAGGCTCTTGTTTCATCAATTAATTCTTGAGTGACTCCTCGCCTCGCCATCTCTCCTGTGTATCATAAGAAACATAATTTATATATAAATGCATATCACACTTTATACTTTTTTATTTCTACTACAGGGTGTCCCATAGCAAATTGCTGAAACTAATTGGCTGTCATTTTTTAATACATGCAGTTATTGAAAAAAACAAAATTTGTGTTGAAAAGAGAAAAGTCTACATTTTTTAATGGATATAAATGTATATCAGTTTATTTTATATTGATTAAAAGTAATGAAAAAAACTAATGATAAATATTTTCAACAGTGCCAGATTTAATAGCAACTATTAAAAGGATTGTTAATAACATTAAAAATGACATATGTTAGAAAGTTTTTACAAGTTTTCGTAAAAGAATAGAATTTTGTACAAATTTAAATGGTTATAATAAGGTTTTTTTCATTACTTTTTATCAATAAAATAAACTAGTATACAAACATTATATTTATATCCATTAAATACTGTATACTTTCCTCTTTTCAACACAATTTTTTTTTTGTCAATAACTGCATGCATTAAAAAATAACAGCTGATTCGTTTCAGCATTTTCCTATGGGACACTTTGTATATATATTTAGAAACGATAATCTTTTTAAATATCGCCTAAAATTTTATTACCTTCGATGCAATCCAATGTTTTTTCATCTTCGCAAATGTCGTACGGCATATTGCCATCAGCGTTAACAGCTAGTAAATTTGCACCCCTGGCAATAAGATGTTTGACTAAGTGTAAATGGCCGCATGTAGCAGCGGCGTGTAATGGTGTCCATTTTTCACTGTCCTCCGCATTTACATTAGCACCAAATTCAATAAGTAACTTCATCATTTCTTCATTGTCGTCTATGCAACACTGATGCAGTGCTGTCAAACCATCTTCATTTGTCGAGTCTGGATTTACGCCTTTCTTCAAAAGTCGCCTTACTATGAGAGAGACAAATGTTCCCAATTATAATACAATAATGTTTATATCTCCGGTGTAATATATAATATAAGATTTCTCACCTTCATCAATATCATTTCTCGCAGCGGCTTCTAATAACATAACACTATCACTAAAGTATATGTGCCGCTTGTTACTTGTATGCCTAGTTTGGTGCCGCAACCATTCCTTCTCACGTTGTCTCCATACTTTCAGCTGCTGTAGTCTACGATGACGTGCCAAGTGTAACCGTTCCTGTGTTGTCAGTCTTTCAACGTGTACCATTTCTGCCACTAACTCTGAGTGTTCCATTGTTAGGTGTTTGTAATTTGTACAGATATATTTACCTGTTTACAACAGAGAAAGGAGAAAACATCACTAAATGTAAACTATATATTTAATATATATACACATATGCACATCTAATTCAACTATATGAAAAAAATGAAAAATCTGCTCCAGAAAAAACATACATAAATTTTTATAAATCATGAAACTTTCAAATTTAAAATTGTGTTACATTTGTCTTGTTTTTTATTTTTATACATTTAATAAAGCATGTAATAATAATTAAAAGGTTTTGTAATAAACATAATGTAAACAATTTTACCTTTACAGTTACAAAGCGAAGACCTCATTCTCAGACATTTTATACTTTTTAAACAAATAACAGCATATTATTCTGGTTATTAGAGAATTTTCATTTATTTCAACAATAGAAATGCAACTTGATTGATTTCTCCGAATTATCTGGCAAGAATGGTAGCACATAATTTACTCTAATATTTTGAAAAATTTATCAAGTACTTGAGTAAGTAAATGTAAAATGTTTGCACAAATGTTTATATATACTGACAGAAAGCTTTCTAGAAATAGTAACAGTTACTTGACGCTAATGTGTCTTTTTTTAAGATTATTGGGTTTCTATGTATGGAATCCTTTCTATTGGAAAATAAGATAATTTCTCTAGAAAATTTTTATGAAAATTTTCTCTTGGAAATATAATATTCAATTAAAAAAAAAAAGAAAAAAAATAGTTACATTTACATTTGACATATAAATTTATATTTCTGAAAAATGAAATATCTAATAAATAATATATCATTTACAGAGAGGAAGCAAGTGAATCTCTCTGTAAGAAAAAATTAGATTATAATTAATGCAATATGCATATATACATTAGTGTTTATTATGTTATGCAGAAACTTTCATATTTTTATTTTAAAAAATCTCAGTGTAATATAAAATTCTTTATTAGATTATGTATGCCTGCATAATGTGTGTACTTATGTAAAGAATTCTATCATCATAGGTAATATTATTGCATCATTGGATATCATCAAGAGAGTGTACATATTTAAACATTCTAACTGTATATTTGCAGCATAAATTTTATATCTCAGAGATAATTTGCAAAACATCCTGCCTATTACTCATTCAAAAAAAAGAGTATATTTATTTTTCCCTAAAAGCAATAAAGATTGATTAAAAAAAATTAATATTGAAGAAAATTCAACATTTGTGTATTACAATATATAAAAATACATAATTAATTTCACGAGCTAATTAAAATACGCAATACACACTTCACTACGCAATTTTCGCAAGAAAATAATAAAAGTAGGCATTTGACGGTGCATAGTTCCAGTGAGAAAAATAGAGAAAAAGAGAGAGAGAGAGAGATGGATTTTACTTCCTGTCAATTATATCGCTCGGCGAGGGAACCGAAGCCATCGCGAGATCAAGGCCAGGACGACGAGCGGTGCGTACCGCGCAGGATACCTCGGCGGAGAGATGACAGGTGCATGACGTAATAATAATAAGAGCTCGACGAGATGTAGCGGTGTATTTTTTTTATCATAATTTTTTTTTCTCTCTCTTTAATATACTCACGTATGCGAGCGCGCGGTTCGACACGCGGCGATGGTGGTCCGCTTTCCTTCCTCCCTCCTCGATCGCGCCCAGCGGAATGTGACGAGCGACGGCGACGAGGTGAGACCCGGACTCTTTTCATTCACCACATTATTGCGTTTCGCGCCCTCCGCGAGGACATGATCTTACGCCATCGATCCGATGTATATATACTTGATGTATCGTGACACGGAGTGACAGATAGCGCGCTGATTTCCGAGGGGAATGAAATATTTACACACTCGCGCGCGCGTGCAGCCGCGAACGGAAACGTCTACCTGTCGTCCGCCATTTTTAAACTACCTCTCACGGGGAGAGAAATCGCGCCCGCGCACGTCTCGCCTCGTCTCGCGCCACGCGCTCACTCGCCGCTCGGCCGCCTGCGATCGCCGATCCGCGGCGACTGGCTCGCGCATGCGCGGTGGCGCGGCGCATGCGCAGTGGCGCGACGCGTCGCCAGGTGGCGCGCTCGACCGCACATGCGCGCGGGAATGGAACGTGTACACCTTTCTGTGTTGCGTAACCGTTCTGCATTATGCGCTAGCCGGTCGATAAGCGAACAGGTATATAATATCGCTGCGCCTCGTTTTATCCGCGCGACGTCGCTCCCGGAATTTCAGGAATTCGTTGATCTGAGAACGGAGCTTGTTAATAATGAAGAACGAGGAGCTCTGCGCGGAACGATTGAACGCTTCGCTGAATTTTGCAACGTGTTATAGCTTCGCAGATGCAACTCTGTTCTTCTTTTCTCTCTCCTTATATATATTATTATATATATATACTATTGCTTTTATATTTTTGTCAGATGATGTATCTCTCCAAGGAGAACAGAAAAGTCAAAATAATGTCAATTTGTGACGTCACATATTGACTAAATTTATGTCATTTTTGGTCATGGAATAATCTCGATCTCGAAGATGACTAAAAAATGACTTTTTATATAGACTTTTTTTGACCTTTTTAATTTGTAGAAAATGTGTTGCACACGTTTCTCGACTGTGATATATACAATGCTTATTATTATGAAGATAATTAAAGTTTCCATATTGCAGTTCGCAGAAGAGTTGAGTTATTGTATTAAAAACTAAATTGTTGATTAAAATATTAATTTTATAAGCGGCTTACGTCTTAAATTTGCATCTCAATTATTTTTAATACAAAATAATTTTTTATCATTGTGAACATCAAGATAACACAAAATTTTATGCAATTTGATGTCATTTTGATGAACTAAAATGACCATATTTTGACGTCAATTTGACATTATTTTGATATTTCTGTTCTCCTTGGGTCGGTGATTAAAATATATATATATATATATATATATATATATATATTGCATTTTTTAGATTTGACATGAAATTTTTAATTTACAAAAATTCTTTTTATATATTTTTTGTATTACAAATATAAATAAAGAAAAAAATAAATACATATGCAAGATTAATTTGCAGGAATAATAGAAATATCGTATATTGGAAAATTGTAAAAAATATATATGCAATGTTCCACAAAATGTTCTGATAGAAAATTTGTAAAGATTAAAAATATCAAATAAATTTTCGAAGAAAGAAAAATGTCGTTTTAAAAGAAAAATAAACAGATAGGTACATATATATATGCTCGTGAAATTAAATGTTTGTAAAACTAAAATCGATATAATACATATATATATATATATATATATATATATATATATATAAATATTATGCCATATTAAGGTTATATTTGAGAGTTTCTATATGATTATATATTGTTTTATTTTAAATAATTAACCTGGGAAAGAAAATGATATTTTTGAAGTTATTTTTCTTTTACTTATACAAATATTTTATTGTATATTATATATACAATAATTATTGTATATATAATATACAATAAAATATTTGTATAAGTAAAAAAAAATAACTTGAAAAATATCATATTTCCTTTCCCAGGTTAATTATTTAAAATAAAACAATATATAATCATAGAAACTCTCAAATATAACCTTAATATTGCACAACATTTCCGAAAGATATTCAGATGAGGATATCGAGAGGACATTCGAACATCCTTAGGATGTTCTCATTTTCAGGATATATGTGCTGTTAGAGAATCAATCAACGAGGTAAAAATGGTAATAATAAAAGCCCATTTATGCTAAAAATTTATGCATTATCAAAATATAAATAGTTTATGTTTGAAAATAAAAATCCTCTCATCTTGTTGATGCGTTTAAATAAAGTTGAAACGCCCGAAGACGCGCATTTCCGTCATCGGTAGGACGCATGCTCGTTTCGCCGTCATCCATCCGATCACGCTCGATATCATGGTCATCTCTCCATCGTTCGGGCTATTAATTCCCGGTTCGAGTGGATAAAAGTGCAAATTTTATCGCGTTCCACGTGTCTTCCTATCTCGGTGTCGCGAACGACCTTGAGGTGTGCACGGTGCTCGGTCTCGATCCCTCATCGCTCCGAACACGTCTGCGAATACATATTTTTCACGATATTATCTGCCGATATGAAAGGATATCGTGGGAGCGGGGCGCATCTCGCAGTCGTTGCAGGTGTTTTCGCGACTGCCGGCAGCCTTCTAGGAAAACTGGCCGGTGGCGCCGACGCGTCGTCTTTGGTGAGTTTGGCGGCAAATTTGAATCGTCGACGAAAAATTAACAGGATGACGGATTAGTTCTGTTTTATCGAAAAGTGAAGTTAGATTTGACTGTAAAGCTAGTTATTGGCTAACGGATTGTTTATTATCTGAAATTATAAGCTAACGCGGTTTGTTAATATTAATACTTTATTAATTGTGAAAAAAGATTTATCAATCTGTATAGTCAATTAAAATACAAACCAAATAAATAAAAATAATTAAATTTTTTAAATTTATGCTTTGTTTGACTATACAGATTTTATTTTTATTAATATTCTAACCATTTGAATTTGTACAAAATTCTGTATTATTATTATTATTATTATTATTATTTATAAATTATTTAATAATTATATATATAGAGTGTTTTATAGGAAATTGCTGAAACTAATCCGTTATTTTTTAATACATGTATGTATAGTTATTGGAAAAACAAAAATTGTGTTAAAAAGAGAAAAAGAGAAGTCTGCAATTTTTAATAAATATAAATAAAATGTTTTTGACGATCTATATTTAATAGCTCAAGTAGAACAGAAAATCAAAATATCATTTTGACGTCATATTGATCAAATTTAAAGTTCAAATTTGATCAAGATGACGTCAAATTAAAATTATTTTGACTTTTCTGTTCTACTTGGGAGCTCTTCTTAAATCTGGTACTATTAAAAATATTTATCATTAATTTATGTGATTTTATGTGATTATTAGCACTTTTTTCATGACTTTTTATCAATTAAATAAACTCGTATACAAACATTTTATTTATATCCATTGAAAATTGTAGATTTTCTTCTTTTCAACACAATTTTTGTTTTCTCAATAACTGCATGCACTAAAAATGATATGGCTCATTAGTTTCAGCAATTTCCTATGGGACACTCTGTATAAATATATACTTTAATTCTAGTAAAAGATTTTTTATTCTGTGTAGCCCCACTAAATAGTTAAATAAAAACATATATTTGTCGATAAAACAGACACAGTCTCTCTCTCTCTCTCTCTCTCTCTCTCTCTCTCTCTCAGCATCCCCTTAAAAGATTGAAACATTCATATTAGGAAATAATAATGAAGAAAATATATTGAGAATTTTTTTTGCAAAGCAATATATATTAATATATTATGTTATAGTTATATTATAATTAATTTAATATTTTAAAAGAGATATGTAAAACGAACGATTGAAAATTAAAAGATTAAAAATATAGATAAAATAATTTGAGAGACTATAAATGGCAAAATAATTATAGAGTAATGTAATGTATGTCTATATACGTATTTTTTTTTCTCGATAAAAAGGCATCATTATTGCTAAAAGGAGTGCTGCTGGTCGCTATGATCGTGTGCAACACCGTGGGATGCACATTTTTTGTCAAAGCACTTCATAGCAGCGGATCTTCCTTGCCGATGACGGTCGCAAGTGCAGCTACGAACTATGTTTGTTCAGTGAGTTGTTAATAATATTTATAAATAATACTTATAAATAATATTTATTTTTTTTGAATAAAATTTTAATAAATATATTATATTTTAATAAATATAATATATAAATAACTTGAATAACAAAGTGCTAAATAAAATAATTAATTACAAAATTAATTATTATTGACGTAATAAAAAAATTAGTAAATATCATACAAAATTTAATTTTAATCTTAAGTTTAGTAAAACAATTTTTGATGATTTTAATTAAAAATCAATAAATTTTGAATTTAATTTAACTAAAATCTTTTTTAAGGGAGATTTGGAATCATTATTTCCGAGTTACAAGCGATAAAAAAAAGCATTTTAACAAAAAAATAAGGACAATAAATAGATAATATTAATAATAATGATACATGTATTTCTTAATTGACTTTAAAAGGAAATTATGCTTTAAAAGAATTTTAATTTGTGTTTTATAAAGATGTAAATTAAAAATGATGATAAATTGACCCTTCTGATATGACATTAAAGAAAACATAGTCGACTCTCGATTGATGAATTTAATGTTAATTGAACTTTAAGACAAAAGGACATTTATTTATTATAAAAAGAAGGAAGAAATATCGGAAAACAGCATTTTTGTAAAAAGTCTTGAACAAATATAGTAATAGATATATAATAATAAAATAATAAATATGTAAAATGTATAGTATATAGTACAGAATGTTTCAGGAAGAATAATCAATATTCTAGGATTTTATTGTATACATCATTTTAAGTAAAAAAATTATATAATTTATATAAACATGTTTCTATTCTGGACAATTATAAAAGATACAACTCGTTTAAGTTTAAGAACGAATATGTTTATTAACTTAATAGAACCAAATACTATGAAACAATTACATTACAAATTTTCGTTGTTTCTTGTTATGTTGATTACGAATATATATAAACTTAGGTCATGTTTGATAAATCCTGTGTTATAGTTTAAAATTTTTGCTTTCTGGTGTAATTAAAGTGGCTCATATTCACTCATGCAAAATTATTATTAATTAATTAAAATTAATAATTAATAATTAATTGTTCCAATATATATTGTAAGCTTAAAATATGTAAATACTTCATAGAATTTGGTTCTAACCCACTAAACACTAAATAACAGTAATATAACATCGATGTTATAATTTCCTATTCAAGAATGTAATATAACATGCCTTGTAATGTATCAGTTACATTGTTGAGTGAAAAATTATAATAATGTTATATTACTGCTGTTAAAGTTAGTTGTTTATAAAATTAATTTGGTTAAGTTAAAAGTTGCATGAATAAAAATTAACTCAGTTAAAGTTAAATTAAGATTAAATTAACTGAAGTTAAATCAAAAGTTAATTTTTAAAAACATTTATATTAAATTAGAATTTTATTGTTTGTTAATTCTTTTAAAATTTATAAAAACAAATAACAAATTTTAATTTTTATATAGAAATATATTTTTGGTAATTACAACTGATGACAAATGAACATAAAAATTAATAATACTTTAATTTAAAAATAATACACGTTTAAAACTTATAAAAAAACAATAATTCAATAATAAAAAAATTTAACTTAGGAAAAAGTTTAAAGTAAAAATAATTAGTTGAAGTTAAAATTAATACATTTTAAATTAACTAAGCTAAGTTAAAAGTTATTAACTTTGTAACTTTTAATTAATTAGTTATTACCCAATTCTCGTAAATAGAAATATATATATAGAGATATATGCGATATAAAAATGGAGTGACAGAGGAGAAATTGACGATAAATATTTGTCAGGTCATATAATTGTTCGTCCATGAGCAAACAATAATATAATTAGATTAATATATATTTATGTGAGTTATTGGAGTTTGCAATGAGTGAAAGTTGTTTCGCGAACTAGACGCAATTCCGTGAGCGCGCACAATGCGGTCATAGCAATTATACATATGTGTACAGCTACGTGGCGATTGAAGGAGAGCAGTGCGATATATATGATATGTGCTATTGAAACGCAATCTAGATAATGGTGCACTCTATGCTTATACGCCGGAATTATTACACGATCAATAGGAATATTATGTTTTCGCCGTCTCTCACTCACACTGCGCGAAGAGCATATATATTCTATTGTTTTCCCGCGCATTTTCCGTAATGATTATATTCATCTCATTTATTTACGTAAGATTTTATGAGTCTTTATAATGTTCTTAGTCTACACAGAGAGAATTTTTCGTTATATTTTACCGCAAAATTCGCTACAAATTTTAACATGTTTGATAATAAGCCGAAAATTACTATTGCTGCATATTAAAGAAAATGAATTGTCAAATTTATATAAAATATATATTTTTTATGTTTATCATTTTTTACATCTATTCTAATTAAAACATTTAAAGAATCATAAGTTTTTAATATAGTTTTTGTTTTAGTTTTAAATATATTTAAAAATTTTGAAGTTTTACTATACATATATTTAGGTATAATTAATTAAATATATTTTTTTTTATTTAAATATATTTTATATCTTATTGTGTAAATATTAATATTTTTTATTGTGATAAATAATAATCAGAGAACTTTTATAAAATTCTTTCAATACTCACGATTATTATGAATTTTAATAAGAGAAAACTCTCTGTGTATTTTGAATAGAAATAAAAAAATCAGATATTATATTTTACGATTTTAAAAATTGTAATAATTGAATTTTCCTATAATAATTTTCTGCAGAACTTGATTTAATCCGCACCTTGTCAGCAGCGTGACCGCATATTGATTGTGTTGGCGTGAAGTTAAACATTTAAGAGATTAAGTTTGGATTTGTCGGGATATAAGAACGTTACTGACTAGTCTTTGAAATATAAAAATGCAGTTATATATTTGTCATATATAGTTGGTTCTATATGTCTATCAACTGTGTCAAACACGTATCTTGTCAATCTCGTTAATCTCCAATATTTTTTAAGCGCGATAGGTATTAAAAAAAATTTAATTTCCTAAAAAGGATAATTATTTGTACAAAAAGTTACATTTATTAGATAAAAATTTCAATTTTCCGCAAAGTGACATATCTTAGAAACAAAATACTCATTTAATTCGAAATCCAGCTGACTCTCAAATGCATTACTTTGTCAAATATGTGTATAATTAATTAAGAAATTTATTTCGATAAAATACAATACAGTCTATTATGTATGTATATATAAACTATTTGTAATCTGAATTTTTCTATTTTTACTTGAACGGCTCAATTAAATTGTTTTAATTATCTTTTTGCAGAAAAAGAGATAGTGCACAAATATATTTTAAGTTGGATAAGTCATTTTTAGTCTTTAAATTTTGAGCTATTAATTATAATATGTCAAAATAATTAATATCCACTTTTAATTTATTTACATTTTTAAATAATGAAATAAGAATAAAATATAAAATACAAGAAAATTTACAAGCTAAATATATAGCTTGTAAAATGAAATAAGCTATGAGAATTCTAAAACTTAAAAACTAATATAAATATATTTTATAATAATAATATAAATATATTTTTATATTTTGATTATAATATGTACAATTATATATTAATTATAATAATTATAATATAAATGTATTTTTATATTTTTTATATTTTGCTATATATTTTATTATATTTTTAGATTTTCTGTAAAAATATAAAACTTAATGTCCTATTTTTATTCAAGGCTTTTGTAGGCTTTATCGTGTTTGATGAATCTACATCATTGGCCTGGTGGTGCGGAACTTCCTTGGTACTTCTCGGCTTGATTTTGATATGTTACGTTCCCGCTGAAAAAAGTACTCTCGTCGTCGAGGAGAAATTAAAGCATCAGTAATCAGTAGCAAGGGCTTTTATAAACGGTGACGTTCATGAGCATCTGCAGAATTTTTTCCCAGGAGGGGCATAATTAAAATTTTTTTGATTCCTTATATTTTTCTTTCTTAATTCTTTTAAATTTATTTTTTTTGTTATTTTGTTATTTTTATTTTTTATATTAAATATTCAAATAATTCTAGTATTATTCAAAAGGAGAGCAAAAGTTTAACTCTTGCTCCTCCTCTGCGGATGTTCATGGATGTTATCCAAAGCACGATTTACTCCTTTGTATTGATGTTGCTATATGTCCTTATATTATATCGTTGAATGATAAATTATATTGATGAATGTATAATTTATTATAAATAAAAATTTATCTATATTTTTTATATATTAATTACTTCTATTTATAATAATTTTTTTCTACATTTTCTACGTAAATCGTTGATAATTTTGGAGCGATATACATGTCGATATAATTGTTCTAGAAATGAATGACGTACAATATATGTACACACACACACACATATTTATAATACTGTATTATTAGATTGAATAACGTAATAGACGTCGTAGTGTAAAATTTATACATGATAGGAGGACAGAAATATTCCATCTGCTCAATAAAAATATATTCTGGCATTTCTGTCTTTATTTTAAAATTATTTTATTTAAGGATTAAATTTATTATATATATTATTATATATATTAAGAATTATATATACAGTAAAAAATTGGTTTCCTTATAGTTTCAAGAATATTTATTAATAATTATATAAAATAAAAAGTCAATACATTAATTAGTTTTGAGTGCTCATCAAATATAATAAGAAATAATCTTGAAAATATAAATTTCTTTTTTATAAATTAGTAATGTAAGAAAAATATTTTATAAAATTAAATTAATAATAAAAAATGTATGTATGTTGCGTATGCAAAATAGAACAAACTTAGTCATTTTTGTAAAAAACTGTGAATCATATTAATTTTTTACGTTATAAAAATCAAAATTTTATTTGAAAACCTGATACTCGCATTTTTTAAATATTTAATGAAGATTTTAATGTCTCATCTTTATTTTGATCTTTATTTTAAAGTTTCTGTAGACGTAAAAACGCAATTCACTATTAAACAAATAAATAGATATTAGTACTAGAATTATTTGATAGAGAATAAAATATTATCTTTTAGATAGGTTAAAAAATGAAATATTTTCAAGAATATTCATTTTTTTCAAATACATATTTTCAAGACTATTTATTCTTAATGAAAAATATTTTGTGCATTAAATTTATATTTTGTTCTTCTATCGCAGTAAATCGAGCAAATTTTATACAATGTAGAGTGTTTCTCCGAAAATCCGCGTCTCTTGAATTGCGCTTATTTTAAGCATAGCAGAGCGGATGGATCGTCTGTTACAATGCAACAATGTTGGAGGAGATGGTGCACGTCTCTTCTAGTGGCACTTAAAATACATTAATATGATGCTATCTTCCCTCGTTCACTCGTCAAGTGGTTAACGCTTCACATTGACGCATTAATGAGGCGAAATTAGCGCGACATGCAAATTATATCGTCGTTATTATGTGTTACCTCGTTACAGTCTCCGCGTCGGTGTAACATGTAACGAAGACGGATGTATTTATGTTGCCTCCGGATGTAAATATACCGCGCGAATGAATATATGTGCAGCGTTTGATGATGAATATAATAGCCGCGTTGGATGAATCGATCGATCTTCTCTGACATTAATTTGCCCACGGGGCTTATTGAAATAATTATCTGAATGATATGGCATGAATTCCTCCCTCAACATTGTATTTTAAGAACTGCCATTTCCCATATGCAATATGCTATTTTATCGAAATTTTGACGTTTCTCCACTTGAAGCTATACGCAAAATGTAAATTAATATTATAGTGTTTATAAGGTAATTAATAAAATGTACCTTTTTCACTTCTTCATTTAAGGCTTTAATAGATGTGTATCTATCATATGATGGATTATATTACTTTCTGAGGAATTTATATATCATGGACTTTTTTAGTTATATTAAATTTCAAGTTGGATTTCCAACATTTTATTCATTTTTCGTGAATTTGTTTATGAAATATACTTAAAACAGAAAAGGAAATAGTAAAAAGTAAATAGATAATTTATTTTTTTATGTTTACTAAACAGATGCATTTCATATAAAAAAAATGCATATAAAAATATATGGTATATATAAAATATATAATTATTTATAAAAATTGCATTTTTAAAAAATATGAAATTACGTGTAATATTTAAACATTAATTCTTTAATTTAATATTAATTATTAATGAGACATCTCTCTGGCATATAAAAGATTAGTAAATCAGCAATTTAAAAGGCAAAAATTGAATACATAGATAAATCATGTGTATATATATATATATATATATATATATATATATATATATTATAATAAAAATAAAATAAATTTTATTGATTTTACCTAAAAAACAGAGATTCTATCTAACAATAAGAAACAGGCAGATTCCTGTAATCATTTGGAGACTATTTTTCCTCAATGAAAATGTCGAGAGGAAAGCCATCATTTTTACATGTTCTCAATTTTTGCTATTATATTTGTAAGTAAGTTGTAAATTAAAATTGTATTAAAAGTAAACTCTACTTGAAATTAATTGAAGAATGTGGTTTTGTTAATATTTTTATTTTTACAAGGCTTATTTTTTTTTTTTGAGAAAAATACCCTATTTTCAATCGCTTACAACTCGAAATTAAATTATTGGTGCCTAGACATTTTTGCTAAGTAAAAATCGTCTCTAAATAATCTTAAATTATTACATATATATTGTCGCATCTCTAGTAATTAAAATTGGAAATATAATAAGTTCATTATACGTATATCAACACCGAGGAGATGTGTAAAGACTTGTTTAACAAAAGAAAGTTATAATTTCTGAGCTTGAGCCAACGTAACAAAAATTTATTACATGTAATCGTTGAATAATTTATTAAACTTTCTGCACTAGTGTTCTGATTTATTTATACGGTGACTAAGTACGCGAATGAGTGGATAGAATGTCGCGAGGGTGAATTTGCGTGCCATGAATAATCACGATCGATCCATGAGCATACAGGCGATTAAAGAATTCTTATTTTCTGTACAACGTAAAGTGTACAACAGTTTTCTTTTTATTTAAAAAACATTCTTTTTTTCTTCAATTATTCCCGTTTAAACGCTCTATATACAGGAAGAAGAGCGGAAGCAACGCGTTTCTCGTCAACATGCTTCAGCATGGCTACGAGCTCATTCAAGATCACGTTGTACACAGAGACGCACATACATGCACACACATTGGCAATCGGTTACGACGCAAGCGTAGCCCAGTAGCCTCGGTGTGCGAGTTCTACTACACCAGATTTTGTAGGGCAGGGTCGAGGGACGCCGAGGGGTGAGGATGGCCTTTATCGAGCGGCTTCTGCGCGAGCCCGCCAACGCCGACGTTCACGACGCCTTAATTTCAGGGACGGACAACCCCTAGTTCACCTAGAAATCGCGGAGAATGCGCGGTAATTTCCGTCGAAAGACGAAATTGTCCCAAAAAGAATTGGGACCCTTTGTCAATTGGGGTCGTTACACCGTAGATGAGGATTGGGATTTTCATTATTTAAATGAGGAAGTTAGGGTTCGAAACTTGCAAGAAAAGAGCGGTTGGTTAGTTTATTCAGACCAAGATCTAGGCAGCCTTAAATGCGCGGTAATTTCCGTCGAAAGATGGAATTGTCCCAAAGAGAATTAGGACTTTGTCTATTGGTGTCATTCCATCATAGATGAGGATTGGGATTTTTGTTATTTGGGTGAGGAAGTTATAGGGTTCGAAACTTGAGAGAAAAGAGGGGTAGGTTCATTGAACAGCCTTAAATGCGCGGTAATTTTCGTCAAAAGGCAAAATTGTCCCAAAGAGAATTGGAACCCTTTGTCTATTGGGGTTATTACACCATAGATGAGAATTCGGATTTTTATTATTTGAGTGAGAAAGTTAGAGTTCGAAACTTGCGAGAAAAGAGCGGTTAGTTTATTGAGACAAGGATCTGGACAGCTTTAAATGCGCGATAATTTCCGTCGAAAGACGGAATTGTCCCAAAGAGAATTGAAACCCTTTGTCTATTGGGGTTATTACATCATAGATGAGGATTGGGATTTTTATTATTTGGGTGAGGAAGTTAGGGTTCAAAACTTGCGAAAAAAGAGCAGTTAGTTTATTGAGACGAGGATCTGGACAGCTTTAAATGCGCGATCATTTCCGTCGAAAGACGGAATTGTTCCAAAGAGAATTGGGATCCTTTGTCTATTGGAGTCATTACAACATAGATAAGGATTGGGATTTTTATTATTTGGGTGAGGAAGTTAGGGTTCGAAACTTGCGAGAAAAGAGGGGTAGATTCATTGAGACCAGGATCCGGGCAGTCTTAATTCAGCCCTGTTGAATTTCCCCCTCCGCGCATTTCGTCCCCTCCTCCCCGGCAAATCTGTTACGAGAGATTTCCTCCACCGCGCCACCATCCTCGCCCACCTTATGGCAATGAATTTGAACGGGCCGCAGATTCCCGCGGACGAGGTGAGAACGATATTCGTGCACGTTGGCTTCTACTTAAAAAAAAAGAAGAGAAACGTGATTTCTTATCGCGGCGATCAAGCAATTATCGATAGCCCGAAATACGCCCGATATTCGCGCTCGTGTCCCAAGAGACTCGCAAGGTTTGGGTTTCTCTGAAAGAGGACCCTGTCCCATCAGCGCTGTCACCGGCAGCATCCATCTGGGTTGTCGAGATCTCCAGGGTGATCCATCGTCGTCCATCGTCCGGCCAATCGATCCTCGGTGCATCGAGTTCGAGAGCTTGCATTTTCTCCTCGAGTGTGTATACGTTTAGCCTCGTCAGGTGAATCATCATCATCGCGAATCATCGTCAACTCGCAAGCCCTCTTCCTTCGCCGACGTTCTGAGATGATCCAGAACCATGCCAATGTGTGATGCGAGATCCTAACACCCGGAACAAAACTGGCGGAATGAAACGCGAACCTTTTGGTGGCAAAGAGGTTCTCTCTTTTTCTCTCTGTACTCGCGTGACGATAGGATCTACCCCACTATTCTGCACGTTACCCCTAGTCTAGTCGTGCCTCCTCTTCTCTCCCTTCCCCATCATCGTCGCGGTTTAGCTTCCCCTACTTTTACCCCCTGCCTATCGTTTTCCTTTCTCTCCTCGCTCTACTTGTTCCTGCTCTCACCCCTTTTCCTTGCTCACCCTGAGCGGGGTAGTTCTCGTACGACGCGCCCTTCCGTCGAACCGTCGAGGAAAAGAGAGAGAGATAGATAGGTAGATAGAAGGAAGGTTAGGGAGGGAAAGAGAGATAAGAGAATGTACACGATTTGCAGTGCAATCTGCTGCAACGTCTGTGTGTGACAGACGGGACTGAAAAGTGTAACCGAGTGATGGGATTAGGAAGGCACGATTCGTCGCTCGCCTCGGGAATTCTTTTCCACGGCAGCGGGTGAACAACAAAGTGCGCGAATAACGATATCCCTCTTCTTTGCTCTTCTCGAAGGAGAGGAGCAGCATCCCGCGAGTGCGACACGAGCTAATTCGCGATAAGGGAAGGAGAAGATCCCTCTCCTCGGGACAGGAATTCCTCTTCTCGGGGACTTCGGTGTTACGAGATCATGCGAGGTGCGAATTTCACAGGTGTGTCTCAAATTCGCGGTTCTTTTTTATTTTCTTTTATGGAAATTTAATTACGTGTAAATTGTAGGGACATTTTTTTGAAGCGCGTTTTTGTTTTTGCACGATGACAAATCTCCCATTTATTAACTTCCATAATGTCTAATCTATATCTAAGGATAATCCTACTTGTGGCTTATCCCAGTGAATAGTATAGGTGATCAAAAACCATACTAAAGTTGGTTTTCAATCGTACCAACCGAAAAACTTTACGATTGAAAACCAACTTCAGTATAGTTTACTATTGTCTATACTACTCACGCTGGGATAAGCCACAAGTAGGATTATCCTTAGGTGCAAATAGGACATAATGCAAGTTATATATTAATCTTCATTAATTAACTTTTGAATATAAATAAGCGTTCTATTTTTGTTTATGTTTAACTTATGCCTTACTGATTAATATATATATATATATATATATATATATTATTCATTATGTCTTATCTACATCTAAGGATAATCCTACTTGTGGCTTATCCTAATGAATAGTATATATAGACGATCAAAAACTATACTGAAGTTGATTTTCAATCATACACCAATCAAAAAAATTTACGACTAAAAACCAACTTCAGTGTGGTTTTTGATTTATTTAAAAATAAAATAATGAAGAATAATATATAACTTTCATAATGCCCAATCTATACTTAAGGATAATCCTACTTGTGGCTTATCCCAGTGAATAGTATAGACGATCAAAAACCATACTGAAGTTGATTTTCAACTTCACCAATCAAAAAATTACAATTGAAAACCAACTTCAGTATGGTTTTTGATCATCTATACTACTCATTAGATTAAGTCATTAATAGAATTATCCTTAGGCGTAGATAGAGCATAATGGAAGTTATATATCAATCTTCATTATTTTATTTTTGAATATAAATAAGCGTTTTATATTTGTTCGTGTTTAGCTTGTCCCTTTGTATCGAGAGATACATATCTGTCAGACATGCGGATTGCTGCATAATTTACGATACACATCGCTTTTAGCTTGATTACGGGTTAAAACTTCGATATGTTATCTATTTTATGAGAATCGAAGAATAATCGGGAATTCTGGAATAATCTGTCTTTGAATGGCAGATGAAGGGATTTTATGAATGCACGCTCAGTGCACTTGATTTTAATGAATTAATTCTACGCAAATTGATTTCTGTGTGCGCGCACGAGAAGAAATAAATGTAATTATACAAAATGTTCCATGCGTGACATTTTTAAATCGTACTCCGATTGGTTTTCATCGGATGGATTTATCCAAATATATATATCGGATCAGATCGTTTTATTTTAAGAGTAGGTCAACTACTCATCGGAGGCAGCAGTTTTATGCAATTGCATTTAATCTCAATATTAAATTGATAGATTTTACAATGTGGCAAATAACAATACTAACAAATATCCGAAAGTTTTAGTGATATTGAAGATTTAAGATTATTCATCGGATATTTCTTCTATAAAATAGTATGATTGAATATTTCGATATTTCGATGGCGCTACTTTTTTTTAATAATTTAAAAATTATTTTTTGTTTGATAATTTAATAAACATCAAATTATTTTAATCATCCAATACATTAGTGTTAATTAAAAATAAAAAAAACGAGGTAATTATTATACCTTTAGTGGTATTATTTAACAATTAGTGGTATTATTTAACAATTATAAGAGAGAAATACTGGAAAATGCTTATTAAAAAATTAATCTATAATTATTTTCTGAATTTTTTACAAATTATTTGGAAAAAAGTTTCCTTTGTAGTTTAAAAAAAGATACACACATATATAAGTACAGTCATGGCTGACTAATAATCAGATGCATGCACGAGTAACATTTTATTTTTTTTTAATTATATTTCAAAAGTAATTTTTTAAGTTTTATTTTAAATAATCATTTTTAAAAATAATTTTAAGCATTTTAAAAAAATTTATTTATTTAGATTTATTATTTTTTCTAATATTATTTTATAAATTTTTATTATACTACATGTATATTTGGCGTTATTTATTTGTTAAACTTCTTTGCAGAAAATATGCGTATATTAATACTAATACCACGCAATATAAATATAGAAATACCGTTATTCTTATTTTTATCCGATATTATAACCCCCCGCTCTTACTATGTTATGTTACACAGTTTTCTGTCCTTATAATCAAATATTAACTTATTAACTATCAAAATTTTAACTTGGAAAATTTTTAAATATTTAGGTCTAAATATTTTTTAATTTAAATAATTATGTCTCGATTAAATTTTGTAAAATTCCTTCATCCAAAATTATTTATTTTAAACATATTGTGTCTTGAACAAATCATAATTTACCAAATTCATAATTTATTAACGCGATATGATAATAAAGTTATGAAAGAAAAGTATGATAATAACAAATCGTAAAATATCCGCAAGTTGTCGCAAGTTGTTGCAATTAATATAAAACTTTCAACCACGTCAATAAGTTGTTTCAACTTCTTTCTTGGCGGTCAACCAATGTAACATACGAGTACATACACATGTTTAAACCGAAAACGCAAAAACATTCGATATTGCGGCGCCGCAATTAATCAATTGTATGGTGTGTTTTATTGAAAGTAAACAAACGAAACATTACGTGACGCATCCTTTATTTCGCATATTCAAATTATGAATAATCATCTTCATTAATACTCTTTTATCTTTCGAGAAATCAAATTTGGATTTATGATATATTTAAGCTATATTGTTAATTTTTATTGCTAATTTATTTTCTAATTTCAAATTAGTATTGTTTCTAAAAACTAAATTTATATGAAAGTTAAAGGGATGCTGGGAGTTTAACACTAATATCCCAACTTAAAAAAAAAATACTTGTAACGAATCGTAAATGAACAAGCTTATATGCCAGAATAAATTGAAACATACTGTATTTAAAAATAATATATTAAATATATTAAGAATATTAAATTTTTATCAATACATGTTTGTGTATCAATACGGAATATTACAATATACAATCATCTAGGTATAACAATAAAAGGATAAAAAGTATGAAGTCAATATAAATAATAGCTGAGCAATGAAAATGTTTCCCGAATTAATTGTTATCGAAATATTCTAATTTAGTATTTATTATTCGCAAAATAAATTAAAATAATAATCGAAAATTCTCTCTAACGCTAAAAGAGTAAACTATGTTAATTCAATAAATCATTACTTCCCAATTTCAAATATTTATGATCAAATTATTCGTTTAATTTAAAACAGGTATAAAAATATAGATATCAGCTTGTTCAAAAGTAAAATATGTTGAAATAATAATTAACTTTTTTTTTAATTAAAATACTTCTTGAATTGATTGCTCGCAATATATGCCGTTCTCGAATTTAATATGCTCACGAAATAACTTTATAATTATTTTTAAATTTTCCTAAATATTAAAATAAAAAATAATTTAAGACTTACAAGTACAATACAGTTGCAGTAGAGTTATAGAACATAATGTTAATCTGCGAACAATAAGCAAAAATATAAAATAATGCTTAAAGTAATTTTTCAAAAAATAATAATTGCACAATTAAATTTTTATTTACCTCTTTAAATAAATATTTAATAAAACGTATAGAATTTTAGAAAAAATAATTTTAAATATAAGATTGCATATAAAAATAAAATTATTTTTTATTAAATAATTTAAAAAATATTCTCTTATGAGTTTATAATTAAATAAAAAAGAATATTCTTTTATGAGTTATTTATAATTTTTGTAAGTAATCTAAAGCAAATCTTACATAGTGCTGAAATATTTTATATATATTTGTATAAAAATATTAATTGTAAATATATTACTTTAAAATAGCTCGTCATTATGGCCTTTTATTAGATTTGATTTTTGCGTTGTGCATATTGAGATTTTTCTTAACTATCTTTTATTTATTTATTTAATTTTTAATTAATTGTAAATATTGTAAGTATTATTTCATTGTCAGAATAAGATCCAATATTTTATATGCATTATATTATATTATACAATAACATAAAGTAAGTCACTATGTATATTGAAGCTAAAAGGACAAATAATTTTACAAATGTTCTTCTCTTTTTTGTTTGACTGTTCCTTCATGACACTCACATGACACTCATTTGCAAAAACACAATTAATTATCGCAATTCATCATTAAAATACAAATCAATTACGACTGCTTTGCACTTTAGATGGTACTCTCGCTAATTGCATACAATACGCACTTTATTTTATATTGAAATAAGAGAACGCAAAAATACGATTATATGAAGTGAAATAATTCGCTAAAAAATTACATTAATATCCTTTTTGGATATGGTATTGATTTGAAAAATCATATAAAATATACGTTTCAACAGTTCATATATTTTTTTAATAATTGAAGTTTTTAATTTTTACGAGTAATAAATTCAAAATTTAAATATTTTAATAGCAATTAATTCGAGGACTTTCAGTCTTCAAAAAAAATATATTGTGTTAATTTAATTAACAATATATTTACAGTTGAAAATATGAGATTTATTGCAAAAAGTTACAAATTAGATCATTAAAGTTTCTACTAAATAGTTTTCAATTATATTTATTTAAACTTAAGAATTTTTTAAATTGTTGAATATATATATATATAAATCTAATGTCAACATTAATAAAATATATATATATATATATATATATATATATATATATAAGTATATATATATATTATATAAATTTTTGCATAAAGATACATGTATAAATTATTGCAAAAATTCAGAGATTCTTAAATGTTGACATATTAAATTAATTTTAAATTTGTCAATTTTGACATTACATTCGTATTCAACATGACCTGAAAAGTTCTCAACTATGAATAGATATAATTGAAAACCTATATTCGATAGATATATATTCTCAATAATACAATTACACAAATTACATTTCGTGCACAATTCAGAATCTTCAATAAATTCCATATTTGATCATCTTATTAAATGATCATCTTATATCACAATCGATACAACAAACTCCTTTTAAAAGCTGAAAGTCCTAACAATATATTATATATTTGATTAAATAAGATTTCTTTAACACATTATTATATCGTAATTATAATATGACAAAATATACACATTAAATACATTTTTCTGCAACTTTAACTGCAATAGTCTCAAAATTGTGACGTGATGAAGTAAATTGAAAATAAAAATCGTATTTAGGTTAAAAAAAACTATGAAAAATGCGTAGTCTTGTTCTTATGTTTTTTTTGTATAAAACTCTAATTTTCAAAAACTATAATTTTTTGCAAGTAATAAAGTCATAGATATTTAAGATAATTTCATAGCAATTTATTTAGGAAGCTTTTAAAGTCAAATTAAGATCGTATATTAAGTAGTATTTTCATTTTCAATTATTTTATTGTAATATAATTATAGTATTTCAGGTACATAAACAGTATTTAACATTTCTTAAAAATTTAATATTTTTGTTTATATATGATTTGCTGTATTTTTTTTAAAGTAAGGATGCTGGCATAATATATTAAAATACTTCCCCTATTTTTAACATAAAATGTCTGTTAATTGACAGAAGAAATTAATCCAAGATTAGAATTACAAATTAGCGTCAATGATGCCATCGAGATCTGACTTCTCTGATAGAAATATCAGATTAACGGAGTTATTTCACTCGTCCGGATAAAATCGGAATGCAAGTTCTCTCTGGAACTGTAATCATGTTTTGCTGTCGGATAAAGCAGAGTATGCTACGTTGGTATCATGCCAATATATCAAAAAGGCAAAATTTACATAAACGCGAATATATATTCGTGAATCTGCAACAAAAACATCTATCCATTCCTATGGGCCACTTCGAATGTGGAAGCACTATTTTTCTGGCTGGGAATAGCGATTCGTGTCCTTGACAACGTCATCACTTACGTACAGTCACGAAATTTTGTCGCAGAATTGATTTTACCCTTTATAAGGTGCATTAAATCAATCGCGCTTTTTTCTAACTGCGAATTCCCTGATTAATTTTAGATCGTTCTTTCCTTATTCATAGTGTCATTTTTTAAATTTCTCATCTTATCAAATAACTCAGATTTAAATGGAGATTTTATTATAAAAGAAATGTTGATTCGAAATTGTAAAATTTATTTTATATATGTTTAATATCATACATTTCATATCAACATCATACATCTCTAATGTATACAAAAAAGTTCTTGACTTTTAATTGTTAATAATATAAAAATTGATGTCTTGATGTATTTACATAAAAAAATGAATGCAAATACACGATCCAAAAAATTCGTAATTGAAAAAATGTGCGAATTAATCTTATTTATGTATTGTTTTATTTTAAGAAAACATTTTTATTATTTACGTAATTGATATAATTTACATTTTTTTATATAAGTAATCACAAATATTTTAATAATGTATTTACATAAAAAAATTAATTAAATGCACGACTCCCAAAAATTATAATTAAAAGAAAAAAAGAAAAAGTGCAAATTAACATTATTTATATATATTTAGTTTATTTTAAAAAGAACATATTTTTTTATTTTTTTACGTATAATTGAAATAATTTGCATTTTTTATATATGTATAATTGCAAGAAAGCGGAAGTAAATATACAATGTATAATCAGAAATATTTTAAACAGCTATTTTTTCTAAATATTACACAAACCATCGATTGCAAATGCATCAGACATGATTAATACGGTCGACTATAACCTGTTAATAAAGTAGGTTAACGTACTGCGAGGTAGTCGAGTCCTTATAATCTATCTTATTGATTTTAAAACAATCGATAAGCGTCGCGCGTTCTTTAAACCCGGAGAGAACTGCATTTCGTTTTCTGAAATGATGTCGGCTTCATTTTCTCTTCATAAAAATTTATTGCCGCTCGTAATGCATTTTTCTCGCAGCGGTTTTGCCATTTCCATTCCACAACGATGCAGTTGTGTTGGCGTAATTGCGCTGAAAAAATTGTATTCTTATTTGAAGAATTTTCCCCATTTATTTTTTACCCTGTTTTAAAATAGAGAACAACGTCAAAACGATCCTATTATTTCTTATCTTTTAAAGGAGGAATTCTTTAGAGATTAGATCTAATTTCTGTACTTTTTATTGTATATTTTCTTTTATTTTTACATTAATTATACACTTTTCATTATAACTTTAATTAACATTTTTATTACAAGAAGAATTTTAATTTTATAGAGCATGATTTAAGAATGTAAAAGGGATATCTAAAGAATGGTACACAAAAATTTATAGATTGTTTCCATTTTAATATTAAAGCTATTTTGTCAAAATTTGGATTTAATCCACTAACTCATTTAAAAGTTGCTGCAATTTAAATTTCCGCCAGCTAATAAAAGTTAGAAAATTAAACTAGAGCGATTTTTTACGAGATGTACAGATTTTCTATATAAGATATTAATATAGCGTTGATACTTTTATCTGCGAGATTGTATCTCCTACACATTCCTTAAAAATACACATAAATTTCCATTTTTCTTTGTTTTACAAAAAGTTGAATGAAAAGTGCAATAAAGTTTTGCTACTCTTCATAAAACCATTTTATAGTTGGTCACATTATTCCACAACACACACACACAGGCAAAGAAGGATCATAAAGAAAGCATATACATAGTATACATATATGTATAGAGGCCGAGACCTGGGTCCTGAACGAATAAATTAGGTTACATGTTACTTACTCGTGAACTCTTCTCTTAGGTCGCTCGAGTCCTCTTTTTCGAGCCACTTATGAACTTCATTCTACCCTCTAATAAACTAGAACCATTAAGTGGCAAGCGCACTGCACTCTGTGCATATTGTAAATTGCAATACTATACAGGATGTCGCAGAACTATCGTAAAACCTCTGTTAATGGCAGATTCCTGGTATCATTTTAGACTCGAGACGATTTTTCATCAGCAAACATGTCGAAGGAGGCCATCACTTTTTGCATGTTTCCCATTTTTGCCATCAAAGAACTCTTTTGTAACTAAAATTAAAAATTAAATTAAAATTCTATTAAAGTAAATTCTACTTAAAATTAACTGAAGAATGTGGTTTTGCTAAAATTTTATTTCCACAAGGCTTAGTTTGCAAAAAAGCCCTTATTTTCAAAATTATTGGCCTCCGACATTTTTGCTGAGGAAAAATCGTTTCGAAATAATATCAGGAATCTACCATTAATAGGTTTTATGACGTTTTACGGCCATGTTGCAACATACATATAACTATATATATGTTGTTGCAATATGACCATATAACGTCAAGTGAAGGATCCGCATAAAAAACATACGACCCTTTGTTATATAAACGCAAAATGTATTCTTAGTTTTAGAGGATGTTCTAAAAATACTTGAGAGAAAAATATCTGTTCTCTTTTTTCAAAAATAAAATTTTTTTCGCAGAATGTTTTTCGTAAAGTATATCTCTCATTGAGAGTAATTATGCAAAGATAAAAAAAATCACCCCCAATTTCAATTATTTTGAAATAAGTCTTTTGAATAAAACATGTGTTCTGTTAGCGTAATTCTTACCTCGAAACATTTACATCTCGGTTCGATCGAACCGTTTTTTAAGGAGGCTACTGAAATCGGATGCATATGTAACATATATAGGATAACGACAATTTATCAATAACTTGTCCCACTTTCTCGAAAGAACAAGCACGCGTTTCCTCTTTCAAGCGAGGCAATTGTGCCCCGTGTATCGCTAATCGATATCCAAGACAAATTCCTTCTATTCCTTCTATTTGCGTGTAATATATATATATGTATCTTATCTAGTGTTTGTTGTTCTAAATTTAAATAAAATAAAATTATATAAAAATGGTCATCTAGAATCTCGATGAAATTTTGATGTCATAAAAAATATATATTGTCAATAAAAATATCAGTAAAAATGTCAATAAAAATATATTATATACATATATTTGCATCTTAAATGAAAAAAGTGTTATCTTTAAATTACTTAATTATCTAGAATAATATGTAGATAATTTGCTTTAGAGTTATAGCATATAAAAATACTTAAGTAGTAGAACTTACTCAGTAAGCGATACAAACTTACAAATAAGTATGAATATATTTTTATCTACTGTAAAAGAATATGTAAAAGTACATAAAAATATGTACAATTACATAAATAATTAAATGTAAAATTACATCATAAATAATAAAAATGTATACATTTTCATTAATTATCGTGTAATTTTACACTTATTATTTATATAATTTTATATATTTTTTACAGTATAATTTACATTTTTTTACAACTGTGTTTACATAAGCGATTTTAAAAATAATATTATCTAGAAATTATCTAGATGACATTATTTAGATATATAATTTTTATTTGGATAACAGCATTTATTATCTAAATGGAATTTTAACGTCATCTCATTTTTATATAGATTATAAAAATATATATTATCTTGTATTTCTATATCTTAAAGAAAAAAAGTATTATCTTTACTAAGTTATCTAGAATAATGTTCAGATAATTTGCTTTAAAGTCATAGCACATAAAATAAAAACGCTTAAGTAGTAAGTAGAATTTAAGTAATAAGCGATAAAAATCTACAAATAAAAATATGAATATATTTTTATATCCTTTTTATAATTCATATTTTTTTTTATAATTGTGTTTACATAAGCAACTTTAAAACTAATATTATCTGGAAGATATCTAGATGAATTGCTATATAATTTCATCTTTTTATCTAGATATATTAAAATTCAAAATCACCTTCATTTTATGATAAAACGCATATTTTCGTCTCATCTTTATCTAGATAATTTTATCTAGATAATTTTATCTAGATATTTTTAAAATTATCTAAGCACAACACTGATTCTATCCTTTCTATATAAAGAATATATTTTCTTTCTCTCGCAGGACCGGCGCGTCACTATTGACCTTCCGAAGATGGTTTTGTTTGTCGCGACGTATCGCTCCACCACAAATATATAAAGGAAAGAGCTGAATTCGGAGTCTAAATGACACCACTTCCCATTGCGACAGCCACGCGAGGGTTCAATAGGAAGATATCCGCGAACGACAAATGCTCATATGCAAGTCCTCGTGCACTGAAACGCGCAGCAACGCTAACCTTATCGAAGGGGGTGCGATTACAAGAGCGAGATAAAAAATACGGAATAATTTCATACTCATTGATCTTCGTATCGCGGGCGTATAATAAATCTCTAATTGTGTGATTTGTATATTGCTGTAATAAATTATCAAGATAACGAAGGAGAAAAAGCGATAGAGAAGGAGAGTCACGTGGTTTCACGCCGCGCGTCATTCATGATAAGATCGAATACGCGTCTACTTAATGGAGTCTGGAGTCTCGCTTCTATACATCGAGGATGATGCCTGGCGAACGATATTGCTGCCTTGATGCCGACGAGGATCGAATCGGATCGTCGAGAGATAAATTCAAGAAACTGAAGATGGTGGCGACCAGATAAAGGCTTATGGGCGACTCACTCTTTTAAGACAGTAATATTGAAGAGCACGCGATCATCGTCGCGCCGACATCATGGGGAATGGCATGAATAAGGTGAGAAATTGTTTTAATGGAAAAAACTTTCGCTCTTAGGCAAGAGTGTTATTTCCTTCAAATTTGATAGATCCTTCGATAGGAAAATGGTCCAATATATTGTACAATAAATGCATCACGGAAGGAAAGAATTTCACAATAATTGCATTGTAAAAATAAAATTTCTAAATAATAATTACTCCAAAAATTAATTTCTTTAATTTAGAGTATAAATTATACACAATTATATTTATTATGATTGTGTTAAAAACTATAATTGCAGAAAATTGTATAATTTTTTAAATAAAGATATTTATGCATTTATTTTATATAGAATATTTAACAAATAATAAAACTCAATAATATTTATCAATCATTAGGTGATTTTTTTTACTTTAATTTTGCAAATATTTCATCGAGATAATTCTCCATATAACGTTACTGTTTTGCTAAAATATATACTATTTAGAAATAAATTGTGGAAATATTTATATATATTTGCTCAAAGGTCTATTTTTATATGTATTGTTTCAAATATAGATACATAATTGTAGCATGTCAAATTTCATTCAGATTTTGTCATATAATTTTATAAATATTTTTCTATTAGGGTCATTTTAGGATTTTTTATCAGAACTCAGATAGCAAATACATAGTATATACATCATTTTGACATCGAATGACGTCAGTTTGCTACATGGGAAGAAAAACGCTGCAAACTACAATGCTCTACAATCCACAGTTTTCGAGATATTAATATTTAAAAGTCTCTTTAAAAGATTACAAAGGAGAGAGGGCAGAGCTCCTCCCTCCTGCATCTCCATTTTAAAAAATTCTAATAACTAATAAAATTCAATAATTCTAATAAAATTCTTACAACTCTGACAAAAAATTCATTTCCAATTAAATCAAAACGAGATTTGTTATATTAAAAACTTTGATAAAAAATTTCTGTGAAAATAAAATCTCTTATTAAAAATTTTTTCAAAAAAGTTTAAAATTTTGAAACATTTATATCTCAAAAAAAATTCAGAGCGCAGTTTGCGATATTATCTTTCTCGGTAAAAAATATATCAAACGCTCAAATCTTGACACCTATATCAAATTGAAGGATCCGGAAATAACATGCTTCCTCTTAGATCAATATTTCATAGTCGTTTAATAAAAAAAAGGAACAGACATTTCTATATATATTGGCATCGATAGGAAAAATGTGATTAAATTATGAAATTACATTAATGTCCCACACAATACTTCTTAATTAACATGCATAATATATTATAATATAATTAATATAATTTAAAATCTATTTTTCCTCAATGTGAAAAAATTCAGAAAGAAGTGATTTATCGTAACTTTGTTCGTATATCTTATGTATACATATATCTACGTTTTAATTTAAAAATCTATTAAAATAAAATTAGCTAAAAATGTAATTGTGTTACCAACACATGTGCATATATACATATATAATATATATTTAGCTTTTTAAAATATTTATGAAATAATTTTATTTATCAAGCGCTCGAAACGTGATAATGTTTTGACAAGTATTATTGTTGAAAGATAATATGCGGCAAACTGGACGTATTCTTTGGAAATTTTCAATTTGTAGTTATTTAATATAGGCACTATATATGTATGTATAATAGAGTCTAATAAATGGGATGAGTCGAATAAATTACACAAAGGTCACTGTATAAACGTAAATTAAATACCAAATGTTTTAATCTCGTTTTATACCTCTTTGTATCGCTTTTGAGCTTCCTTTTTAGTAAACGCAAACAACAGATTCAAAGTGAAACGTTGGATATTGAATTTGCATCTATTTGGCGACTTTTGCATAATTGATTTGATAAGATTATAGAGGGTGTTTATTGTAATAATCCGCACAATTTTAAAGGTAGTCGTGATTATCTGAAAAAGTTCAACAAAAATTTGTTCGTTTTATGCAAGCTATAACTTATAGTTTTAAAAATATAAACTTTTTCTTTGTGTATAATAAGTTCAAGGTTATTTTAAGTTTTTAAAAAATGAAACCGTATAACTTTTTTTATAATATTTTAGAAATTTAAAATACTTTTAAAGAACTTTAAGATAACTTTAAATATTTTATGAAAAATTATTGTCTATAACTTTTTTTAGCTTTATTGCCTTTAAAATTGTGCGAACCGTTAGAATTGTTATTCAATATATATATATATATATATATATATATTGTTACTAATAATTTCGACTTCTATTAATCTTTCTACTTGTTTGTCGGTTGAATATTCGAGAGTTTTACCATTATTAATTTTGATCATCTCATGCCGGCGTCTATTAATTCAATAGATTCGAGAGAAACATCAAGTATAAAAATTGTTTAAATGAAAAAAACTTGTTTTAACAAATTTAATTATTCTTCTACAGCACGAAATAAAACAAGAGCTCAAAAAGTTCAATGGAAATGTACGTCCGTTTTTAATTTTTTTGTTTTGATAGAATAACGAGAAAATAATTTTACTTAAACTATTTTAAAATCAATTTGTTTTATAAAAAATTAATACATAGTTATGATGTATATAATTTATTTTTATTTAATATAATGAATTTAAAAAAATATTCAATAGCGATCAGCGAATCTTCGATAAATATATTATCTTCTTTTTCTCTACAATTATAGAGGGATTTTATAGTGTTCTTTGCGCCTTTACCATCTAATAACCTATTTTAAGTGCATTTCAATATAATGACTTACCTAGCATTGTCGTAAGTTCGTATCTTAACGACCGATATAATACGCTTAATAATAATAAAATTTTATGTAGCAGCAAAACGTACTTGTAAGATAAAAGAGACAAAGCTAAAATCGCAATTGGATTTTAGCTACGCTAATTGTAAGATAGGATACACTTTTTTCAGCTCGTCGAATAAGTAATCAGTTCCCTTCATGCATTCTCATTAGCATTTTTTTTCTCCTCGCAATGTAATCGCGATTTAAAATCAATTCTATCTATTCTATTTTTCTACATAAATTGTCTACAAAACGTGAAAAGCTTCGACAATTCATTGGTCATTAAAGATCACCGCGGTCATGTTGGATTGTGACGTCAAAGACGAGAAATAACCGCAAAAACTAGACCTCATATTAGTCATTTTGCAGCGGTTGATTGATTATAAAAGGAAAAGGATAGGTTTTGGACTATTTTGAAGTGTGCTAAGCCATCGAAATTGTGTTTGATCAAAATATCTTTTTATTTGAAAATAGCACACAAAAATCTTCAACGTGTATTTTCTCGCCTCTGATGTCATAATTCCAATATGGTCGGCGATGAGTCAGTAGCCTTAAATGAAAAGTATCATGCAGGCATTTAATTTTAAGCTATATAATCCTTCACGCGAGAATTAAAAATTGTATTAATGGTGTAATATACACTATACACAAATATAATATAAATACACATCAAGTATTTTTTGAAAAGAAAGAAACAAAACGTAATGTTTACAATTGAATGGTCTAATTTCATTCCAGATATTTTTTTAAAGTACTTAAAGTGTAACTATTCCACTACGTGGAACGTAATCTTATATGTATCTTATGTTCATACGATATCTTATCTTTGAAATGTGTTTCGCCAAATAACGTCTCTCACAGTTTCTGGTTACGAAAACCATCTTGTAAACTATGATGTACTATATACAGTGTTGTAGATCATTTAGTTTTAAGCTATATATAATCCTTCACACGAGAATTCAAAATTTTGTTAATGGTGTAATACGCAAATATAACATACATCAAGTATTTTTTTGAAAAAAAAGGAAAAAACAAAACGTAATGTTTACAATTGAATGGACTAATTTCATTCCAGATATTTTTTACAGTAAAATTTAATTATTCCACTACGTGGAACATAATCTTATATGTATCTTTTGTTCATATGATATCTTTGAAATATGATTCGCCAAATAACGTCTCTCACGCAGTTTCTGGTTACGAAAACCAACTTGTAAACTATGATGTATACCGTGTTGTAGATCAAAGCAACATTATACATCATGTTCGTACGTCAAAGCTTGTGCGGGGTTATGATTATCTTGTCGCGATCCATCTTGTAGTCCAAATCGATGCGAGATCATCTTAGAAGAGGTCCACGTCCTCCGATGAACTCGATGGTGTTTGCGTGGCATTCAGCTTCCCGAAATCAGGTGGAAAAACAAATTCCTCTTCAAATATGTCGATAACATTCCTCTTTCTCTTATTCTCCTCTTTACAATCTTCCCTCGCGCACTTGATCCTCTTCTTACATTTCTTCCGGAGGGGATTTCCTTCGTGATAACTTCCACGGATTGTTGTATCGTCGACAACTTTCGTCGTCGACGGAACGACGTTGTTGATTGCCGTAACCGCAATATCCGCAAAATGCTGCTGTACCGTTGAAGGTTTCGTCGTTAATTCTGGGATAGGATTCAGAGTACTCGTGAGAACTTTCGCGATGACATCGGCGGAAGTATTTTTCACAATACTATCTGGAGACGGCTCTTCTTTCACGACTTCATCTCCGAACTTTACCTTCTCCGATTTTGTTCCTCTTCGAGCATCGGCCTGCTTTCGGCGGCTGCATTTCTTCCTTCGTTTACGATCGCGCTCGGAGACAAAATAATCAACAGTCTTCTTCTTGTGATTGTCCGTCCTCGATGGATTTCGAGATACCAAAGGAATGAAGAACGAGCTGAGCGAGCTCGAAATATTCCTCAGGGAATCCTCAAGGAGGACGTTGGGAGAGATGTTGACGTCATCGAGCGGGTGATCAACTGATTCGCGCGATAATGTTTCCGACGCAGTTAACCTTTGCAGGTTGACGTGAATCGCGCAGGCGCACCAGAAGGACACGAGCGAGTGAAATTGCATTATATCGTCGATAGAGGGTGTTATTTGCGCCACTTGTTTCGCTCTGCGTCGTTCTTTTTTTTCTTCTTTGCGATCTCGATCGATCGAAGAGACAGTCTCGTCAAACCTCGAGCTGGTTTCTTTCTCTCGTTTTTTCTCATCTAAAATCGAGGAGGTGCACGCGAGGAGAGGGAACAGAGAGGTCTAATCGCGATAAGAGCGGTTCGAATGAAATTAAATCGCGAGAACTGAGACTAACGACCGGCGTGTCGCCAGAGAGAATAAATAAACTCGAGGTTACGATAATTAAAATAAACGTCATACGTGCGGACTATTAAGGGGATCCCTCAGTAAACGACGAACTCCGACAAAATAGCGCCCTGATTTTGAAATTAAAACATCGATAATTATCGCCTAGTCTTTCTAATTTCTTTTAGCATCTATTATTTTGTTTAACCAATAAAAAGAAAAAAATGCGTAAAAATAATGTTTTATTGAAACAGACAATCGTGAAGGATTCCCTTAAGAGAATCCTAAACGCTGCGTCCTGTTTGATCTATAAAACATCATTTTTGCGCACTCTTTCTTTTTATTTGTTAAACAAATAAATGCTTTCCTCGAAAGTACATATGGAAAAAAGTGCAAATCTATTGATGTTATGTTAGAAACAAAAAATTTCTTTTTTTTTCTATATACGTACTTTAACCGTAGAAAAGCATTTATCATTCTATTTAATCAATAAAAAGAAAAGAGTACGCAAAAATGATGTCTTATCAATCAAATAGGATGATGTTTAGGATCCCCAGATCTCGTCTCTCCCGAGAGATCGTTTGTTTCCCTCATTGTGTCGTAATTTGTCCGTGTCAACTCAATAATTGATGCATGTAATTTTTATTTAATTCCTCGTAGTCAAGGAGGAAAATTCTCGTCTCTCTCTCTCTCAGCTTTTTCGATTAAACCTTCATTAAAGACTGAATCAATATTGGTTGAAAGAATGGACGATGAGAAACGACATTTAAGTTAATGTATGCGCTGTATTCCCTCTTTTTCCTCTCCCGTGCGCTTGTCTCGCTTAAACGCTACCTTCTATCAAGATTCAATATTTGTCAAACGGTAAGTTAATCTAAGATTGCGACGCCCCATCCTGTTCGCGACCATTACGAATCCATTTCGCGGGTTTACGTTTCTTCCACGAACCAATCTGAATTTTCTCGTCGTCTCGTCTAAGGTAATCGTAGGTAAATTCTTGGCCAAATAGACGTCGAAAGGGGCGATGTTTTAATTACAGAGCCGCGTGAGAGATGAATGTGAAGACTATCACGACGTCTTTCAGGATCTCGTTATTTCTGAAGTTTGAGAGGCACGATATTTTAGCACCATATTACGTATTCCATATCGTAAATTGAATATTAATTAGGGACCCGAGCTACTATGTCGTCTTTGTAATACCCAACATTATCGTTTATTATGTCGGCAGGTACTTCCTGGTCTTTACGTAGGTAATTATCAGGACAGCAAGGATGCCGATCAATTGGAGCGTTTCGAGATCACGCATATCCTCGCCATTCACGACACAGCCCGTCGTCTGCATTCCGTAAGTTATGAAAAAAAAATCTTAAATTAAATTAATTTTGATTGCGTTTTTTATTAATTAAAATTAATTTAATTAATTTTATTTTTCAAATCAATTTTAGCAATCGATAAAAAATATCAATGAGAAAGCTGTCATGTGAAATATTTTAATTGTACAATTAAAAGAAAAAATTTCTATTACATAAATAATGAGAAAAAACATGCTTGTGATAGCTCTTCAGTTAGGCCTTGCTTTTAATTTAAGATCGATTATCTCTATTTCTTATATTTTATTATATTTAAATATCTCTACTCTTTCTCTCTCAATTTCTCCTTTTTTATTTTTCTTCTATTTCCTTTACCATTTTTTCTTACCTTGTCATTTTTAATCTTCTTTATTCAATTTAAAATTCTATAAGGTTTTTAATTCTTTAATCAACTTTTTCGTATGAATAAATTTATATTTATAAGTGCCTATCCATCTATCTCTCAATTTTTCCTTTTTTATTACTCGTCCACTTTCCTGTCATCTTTCTTAATGTAACGCTTAAATTACGATCGATATATCTTCTTTCAAGCGCCCATGAAATTTTGTAATAAAGTTTGTAAAATATGACTGTCAAACTTGAAACAGTTTATCTAACTTGTCTAATGTGATTCATTCTTCTTACGCATCAAAATTATCAGCTTCACAATATCGATACATTTCTAGTTGTAACAATAATCATCAGTTGATATTTGATTTGCAATAAAAGTCAAGGTATGAATAGCGCGAAGAAAATTTGAATTGTATCGATAATGAGATCGGCTTAAAACAATAAGAAAATATAAACATTGGGAATTTATCGATTCGAAATAGGTTGATTTGTCATGTAGATAGAACTAGGTGCGAAATAGGATCTCTATACGGCAAAGATATGGTTTAATACTTGGATCAAATTTCAATTGCATTTCAGGATAAGCATTATCTATGCATCTTGGCCGCCGACAGTCCTGATCAGAATTTATCGCAATACTTCTCTTTGTGCAACGACTTCATCCATGCTGCCCGTCTTCGCGGCGGAAACGTTCTGATCCATTGGTAGGTATACATTAGTTATATTAACTTTTAATAAAGTATGTGTCTTCCAATCACCAGATATCCTTTTACTATAGAGTTTTCAGTAAATTTAAAATTTACTCTTCCTCAACAAAATTGTATATTTTTTCAAAAAAAAAGCACTTGTAATGTCTGGACAAAGAAACTGGGATAAAAAGAACATTTGCTGGTTTGGATAATATTGAGTGTCAGCAAAATTTTATGAAATTTGTGATTCATAGAAATAATGGAAACTATGAATTTTTAAATAAACACAATCTTTTTTTTAGTCTGGCAGGAATGTCAAGAAGCGTGACGGTGGCGGTAGCCTACATCATGAGCACTACCAATCTGTCCTGGAAAGAAGCGCTCAAAGTCGTCAGAGTGGGTCGTTCCATCGCGAATCCGAATGTTGGCTTTCAACAGCAGCTCAAGGACTTCGAATCCAGTCGCTTGCAAGACGTAAGTGATATCAAGATAATCATTTTTCTGTCTTTTACTTTATATTTCTTTCTTTCACTTCTTTTATTTCTATTTCTTTCAGACTCAGTTAGTGCTAAGCTTCTATTCTTTTGTTTTTCTTCTTTCTTTAATATTGTATTTTACTTTTTCGAAGATGTCATAATAATATCTTTTTTAATTATTACAAAGATTAAAGAATTATTTCATAAAACTTTACTATTTAATGACATTCTTTTAATATAGGAGCGTCGCAGGTTGAAAGAGCGGTTTCCCAGTCTTGCTCTCGCTGAGTCAGACGCCGAGGCTTGCAGTTCCACCTTGATAAATTACGAAACACTAGCCCTAGCGAAAGAGGTGTGCGAGGGCAAATGCGCCATGGGACGCACTTGTCCGACTGGCCTTTGTCGTCAACCTACTAAAAGGTAATTGTATTGAAAAGAAATCCTCGGCTATAAAGGTCGACTTGACTTTGTGACATTCGATTGTATTGTAATAAAAGTACTTTGTCCGTAAAAAGAGTTATTGGATACTCTGAAAGCAAGACCGATTGAAAAGAGTAAAGGATCCTTGAATAAAGCAAATTATGGATACATTTTTATTTGATTGTATTAACCGCAGATACAATGGAAAAAATATTCTACATAACAAATTCCTTATTATTATATCGATATAAAGAATAAATTTATGCATAAGCTTCTTGTTTGTGAAATGGAATAATACTCGCATATTAAAAATTCTTTGCCAAAATAATTGGAATAAATGTTTAAAGTGTCTTTTTCTCCCACCCGCAAGTACATTTTGACACGTGGCACACATTTATAATTTTGAATTTATTTTATACAGAAATTTAAGAATATAAATATGATGTTTTTTAAATCGGCCAACAGAGCCAAAGCACGAAAAATTAATTATTCGGAACTGTATCTCTTGGTTTGAGATCATTAAGTTCCATATATAAATTAATGTCGAAACTTACATATGGAGAAATAGGCGCGAAAAATATAGGAAGAATATAGGAACAGAATTTAACTTCTGCTGTATCGCCGACAAAGTCC